GATGGGAACTCTTGAATCAGGCTGACCCTGCTGTAAACTTCCTCCTTGTAGGGGAAAAAAATACGAGTTTGTGAGCTTGGGAAGCTTGTTTCTTAGGCCCTGTGATGAGATAGAGATGGAGTTGGAGATGATGGAGGTTGGGGATGGCTGCTTGCACCAGCACCCTGCAAAGCTTCCCAGCTGTTTGTGACAGCAACTCTCTCGCCTGTGACAGCACAAGCAGCTGTACCAGTAGAGCAGAGCAGACTTGTGCAGCTCCTTTCTCCATATGCTGTGGACATGTCTGCATGCTTGACATTGGTGAGGCCAACAAGGGTTGCTAAAGGTCCTGAAGAATGAATGTCATTTATCTGGATACAAAAAGAGGTGTGCTGTACCCCATCCTCACCTCCCAGCTGGACCCCAATCATTTGGAAACACTCACACCAAGCTTCCACACCCTTCTGCACAGCTGAGGATGACAAGGAGGAAGGGATGGGCAAAGCAGGGGCAGGAAGGGCTGCGTTCTGATGTGCAAACCTGCTTGAGATGAGCAGGGACCACCTGCCAGCTGTGACAGCCCGCCCCTGAGCTGCTCCTCAGCACATTGCTCTGGCCTTCAGTGGGAGCAACAAGGATAAAGAGATCCCTGATCTTTGCAACCTTGGCTTTCAATTTCAGATTAAATGGCAAGCAAGAGCTCTTTCTTTATTCTTATTTGTGTCTTCCCATCTGATTCCTGATTTCTCTCTCAAGACATACACACTGCACCATCACTTCCCTCCCATTGTAAAGGTAATGTAGGCTGAGGCTCTTTATCCTGAATATACTTGCCACTTCTCTGCTCCCAGGCTATTTGCTCTGGGCAAGAAGCAGAGCTGGCAGACCCTGCTGAACTGAATAAAAACTATTTAAGAAGATTTGCTCCAATTATTGAAATCTCAGCCTCCTGGTATTCTGTCAGCACTTTCTAGAAACCCAAATCTGCTGCTTGGCTTAACAGATCCACTTTTAAAATGTATTTAATTCAGAAGAGCCAAGAACTTGTTTCAAGAGAGGTCAAAGCAATAAAAAATCCATTTGTTTATGTACATAATCAGCCCTGGGACTTATGTGATGCAGCCAGGATGGTCAATTAAAATCCAACACCTGCATAAATACTCACAGTAAACCCTGTGCCACTGTGTCCCACTACACTAATCCTCCTGGATATGGGGGAAAAAAAAAAAAATCAAATGGAGCAAAATCTGCCCAAAAAGCAGGAGTGAGAGAGCTGTTCCCATGCCTGCAGTTGCAGGCAGCTGAGCCAGCAGCACACATGGCTGAGGAAGCTGGGCAGATGTCAGGTGCCATGGTGCCTGGATATCACAAATCACAAGAAACGAGAAGGACTAGCAATGAAAATAGTTACTAGGTGAAATAGGAGTTAATGTCAGTGTTGATGGAATGGCCTCATAGCCTGTGTGCTGGACGCTTCTGCTAATCTCCATCACTTTCATGGTACTGAAAGGCAGCTGGTTTTTTAGGGGGGGGGGGAGTTGATGAGGGAGAAAGGGAACCCAAAATAGCCCCAGAGAATGAGTTCTGAGGAGCTTTGCCTTCACACCATTCAAGGTTTTTGACCCAGACAGAGCCATGAAGACATCCAATTGAAGACCCCAAGTAGGAGGCTTGAGGTGTGGGCCAAAACAACCTTGCAAGGGCTGGATGGACAGAAAAAAACCCACAGTTGTCATATGTGACATGCAGCTTGTCCACATACACACAGTCCACCTCATAAAAGACTCAGTATAGGGGTTTCATTACTTCATCAGTAGTGACTGTGTGTTTAGGGTATTCCTTAGTCCACATCTGCAAAGTGGGTGAGGAAGATAATCCCAGTTTCTGGAAATGCAAATGTGTACCCTTATAGACTCCTTATCTGGAAGAACTGCTTCTGATTCACATTCCCAGCTGCCAGCTCTGGTGGTGATTGGACAAGCTGTATTCATCCATCAGCCTGTTTTTGCAGTGGCAAAGGGGTAAGGCACAATAGAAAGGCACACAAAAAGAAGCACAGTAGGTGTGGTAAGAAGGTCAGAGTTAAGACAACTCATCTTCTGTTTTGGATAATATTTGGATAAAGAGTTGGTGGAGTCCCCATCCTTGCAAATATTTGAGAGATGTATGGATGTGAAAGTAAGAATCATAGTTTAGTGATGGGGCGCAGTAGTTCAGGTTGATGGTTGGACTTGGTGATCTTGAAGGTCTTCTCCAACCTTGATGGTTCTATATTTGGATCCCTGTCGAGCCAATGCCACCTGCTGGAGAAAAAACTTGAAGACTTGGAGATTCATGGCATCATTTAAACTGGACTTTCTTAGGCGTCCTTCCACCAAAGCCCCTCCCTCTGCATCTGGGTGACCTGAGCACATGCCTGTGGGGTCTGGCTATGGGCCGTTGTGGGGAAGGGACTGCTTCACAATTTCCTTTCTCCTGCTTGCCTCATGTGACAACTAATTATCATTCCAGAGGTAACTGCTGGAGGAGCCGTATGGGATCCATGAACCTCCAGTGCTGTGGGATTTTTTTAGAAGAATCAAAAGACCAGCAATGTCCTAAATGTTATTGTTGTTGTTATTGGTATTATTATTACTGCTGTAATAGCTTCCAAACCTTCCAAAATAAGTCGTGGACACTGTTATTGCTGCACAGGCTCAAAGACAAGGCTTTTTTCCCTGAAGCCTAAGAGGTTTTTAATTGGGGAGAAATAATATGTTCACAAGCTCTAGCGAGGGAGTTAAACAACTGGCAGCCCTACTACAGTGAAGGAGGGTTTTCCCTGGGGAGCCACAACTGGGGGTGAAGCCCACAATATCTCCCAGCAAGCCAAAGAACTGTCTGCACTCAGACCCTGACAGAGCAGTGCACGTGCTTCCAAAAAAGCCTCTTGGGAGAGTGCCTTGTGTCAGTCATTCAGACACAAAAATGAGTTCTGAGTGCTGTGCCCATGATCTCGGTTGGGGCAGCCATGCTACTGAGCAGACATGGGGTTTTATGGGGATATTTCACCTGTGCACCAGTCCTGGTAAAAGCCAAGCACTGCCTCACTGTTTCAGCCTCTTTTTTTCTATAAGCTGTAAATCTGCTGCGTGCTGGCGAAGCCTTCAGGTTGTGCGTGCAGGCATACGTTGCTTATCTAATAAGCTGCTTCCTAGGCTCCAGTGATGCTGCTACTTATGTCATAAATTCCATGATCTCCCCTCTACTGGTCATTAATCTGCTCCATTTCCCGACAATTTTACACTCTTTTGATAAACTGTTTGTCTAACCACTTGACGGAAACAATGTCGAAATCTTACCTTAGGCATTCTCCCCACTAATGAAGAAAATCCATCACGAGGAGAGTTTATCTATTTCTTTGCTGGACGTAAATAAAACGTCAGGCTAATTTGCTTCCATTAATCTTAAAGCCATTGCTACGATGATATTCTTATGTCAGAGAGGTGGGTTTTTTTTCCTTTTCCACATAAATATTTAAGCAAGTACCTAAAGCACAAATAAATTGCTTTCTGAAAGGCGGGTTATTTTTATATCCAGTGATTTAACAATAAATTTGCACAAGGCTGAGCTTCCAGGGCTTCCAGCCTTCTGGTGTGTATGCCTTTACATGAGCAGGGAACTTATAGTCCTCAGTGGGTGCTCAGGATACTCAGCAAGGTCTGCAAAGATGGAAGAATTTGGTGTCTTATGGCTGCAACGGGCAGGTCAAGTGGCAGCCTGCAAATGCTGCAAGAAGGCCTTCTGGAGAAGCTTTCCTTCTTCCACAGGCACTCCTCTGTTTTTCCAGGTGGCATATTTTTGGAGGATGCTTATGCCAATGTTACCGGGTCTTCATACCCAGGGTCACAGGAGAGCTTGTTTGTACATATTGGGCAGATATACGTACTTTGATTTAGGTACATAAAGGCTCACAGATGTTCACACATGTGTTTAGCCAGCAAACTCATGTTACAGGTAAGGAAATGCCAAAAAGCTAGAAAGATCCCCAGTATCTCTTGCAACGTTAAGGTCAAGCTGATAGGCTTTCCCTTGCCAGCACCAGGGCAGGACCACAGCAAAGTGTTCGGGATGCTGAGGTGCAGGCAAGGCTGAGTGCCAGTGCTTTCTGAGAGCACTCACACTCACTGATTAATGTCACTCCAGCCTCACTTCATCTTCTCTTAAGCAAGAGGTAAAGGTAATTGCCTACACTTATCAGCACGGCTACAAAAGTATCCCCTGGCAGGCTCTAAACCTGACAAACTGCTGAGATGGATGCAAGAGGAGCAGTGTGAGTGCCTGCTTTCTGCCTCTCTGGCTGCACGGGTGGACAGTTTCTCCAGCTCAAGGGCAACAGGGCAGCAGTGTGCACAGGCACCCATGCTGGTCTCCTCTACTTCATTCAGGCCTCTCAGTCTTGACTATTGAGGACCAATGTATACACTGCTTGTCTGGTGGGCAATGCTGGAAGATATGATAAAGGTGGGGCAGGCTCTCTTTTGTTGTCAGCATGCTCAGATGGCATTTTGCACTTGGTTGCTTTCTGTCAAAGGTGTCCTGGGTGTTTGGTAAGATTTTTCTGCAAGCCTAAGAGAAAGCTTAATGCAGACATAGGCATATGTCACCTCCACCATGGGGGAAGGCAGAGCTCGGCTCTGGGGACTTGTCCTTGATTTATTAGGGTTCACTCTGCTTTTCCCCACACCACTCCAGAGTCTCTACTTTTGTTATTTTGGGAACATCCAAAATCTCACAGATGCTCTCCTTCTTTGAAAACTCCCGTTGAGCAGATTGTGTGATAAATCTTGCTTAATGCCTTTCCAAACATCTGTTGGTTGTTTCAGAAAGTCTCCTCTTCCTCTTTCCTACACCCCACAACCCCTTGTCCTTTTCCAGGACATCCTACTAACTGGGGTTAATAAAGACACCTTTTGGAGAATCAAGAACCCATGTGCAGTTTCACACTGCAGACCACTGAGGGCATGAGGTCACTGTAGGGCTCAGTGCAGTGTGTCCCTCACCACGGTCAGGTTGTGCTCTTGGAGATACTGCAGCAGGATTTGTCCCCGCCTCTCCAGGACCTGCAGCAGAGGCCACAGTCCTGCAGCACCTCCCTGGCTCTCCCAGAGCTCCTGGTCCCTGTACAGCGACTTCAGCAGCCTGTGGGCCAGGCAGCCCGACCTCAGTGTGGCCACAGCTGTCTCTGGGAAGCTGAAATGACGAATGGAGACAGAATCTGCCATCAGTTACACTGACCCAGAAATCGTCAAAGCCTGCACATGAAAAACAGGAAGGCAGGGAGGAGATATTCCACCAAGTGCTCACGCACTGCCCATCTCACCTGTCTATGCCCTGCAGCAGCCTGAAGTTGAGCTTTGCCTCTGGTTGCTGTGGCCGGCCCGCGTTGTCGATGAACACCAGCTGGGATGGAGCGCTCCTCCGGACCTGCCAGCAGAGGTGGGAAGGAGAAGCTTGCCTACCATGGGGAGTCACCAGCCTAGTGTTTTAGGCTGGCTTTTTAATGCACTGAATAACCCTGAGAGCCTGTGGGATCTGCGGCTGCCAGCACCGCCCAGGCATCTTATATTTTATCCAGAGCAGCCTCTGGGACATGAGGCAGGAGAAAGGGATCAGAGGGGCTGGGGACGTACCAGGATGTGCACCAGGAACAACTCGGATGGGTTTCGACACTTTTCATGGAGCATCTCCTCCACACAGGGCTCGGAGGCGTCAGGCTCAAATCCACAGCAATATCGGTCCAGGCGGTCATGAACCTGGGGGAGATATTTGGGGTCCTCAGTGGGAGCAGGTGCCCTGCATGGGCAGATCCTAAGTGTTTCTCACAAGGAGCTTCTCTTGTTCATATGGGAATAACATGTTTTTAAGGATCCTAGGTGGTCATTAAGTAGAAAAGCTGCTTACACTAGTGCATGAGAGAGACAGGGAAGCACTCAGAAGCTGAGACTTGGAAAATGCCTTGGGACTGGAGAGGAGCCTGACAGAGGTGACAATGACAAGTTTTCCTGTTGGAATTCAGACACCACGTGCTGCACAGACCAAGTGGGCTATGCTTGCAGCTGAAATGAAAGGAAAAGCTACGCAAAGGGGAATGCAAAATAACCTCAATGAGACTTGTCAGCTAGGTGTCAGGGCTGTGAAGCAAGGCATTTTCAGCAGCAAGCAGCCCAGCTGCAGAACAAAGGTTGTTGAGATGGATGTTGTTGAGCCAGGAGCCAGGGCTCAGGATGCACAGAGGCTCCTGAAGCAGTTGCAGAGCTGTAGACTGTCAAGGGTGAGCAACTTACAAGTAGTACCTGCTCGTCTCACTCTGATAATTAGTAAAATTTAACAAGCTGTGCTTTGAGACAGGAACCAGTAGGAAACACAGCTATGCATTGGGGAAGATGCCACAGGAAGTGCGAGGTTTGTTTTCCATGGCTATTACTTCCATAATCCTGCAAGAAACAGATTAGTCCCACACCAGAGCTTCTTAACAAATCCCTCCATTTCCTGACGTTTAATGAAGCACTCCAGTCAGCATTTCTCCACCAGGAGAGCAACCCGTTAAAGTGCTAAAGTGCCTTTTGACATGAAACACATTGAAACGAAAGAAAACATCACATTTCTTCCATACATTTCCTTTGTCCACATACTAAAAAGCTCAGCACACCAATTTCTCTCACCCACAGCGTTGTTTTCTTTCATAGCAGAATAATAGTCTGCACAGAAGGTGAAGACAGTCTGGGATGATTTATGCAGTCATTAAATGCACTCACGTATCAGGGAGAAGCAAGCTCTGCACAGTGCTGGAGGCACCACACAGAAGCCCATGATAGTTACGGTCGGGAGAAGTTTTGGGCCAAATTCCCAACAAACCAGCATGGTTCTGCAAAAGCCACCAGGGTGTGGAAATCCTGAGTCCAAGACGCCAAGAAGGAGAAGGAGACATTGCGGTAAGGATGCTGTGGTTATGGTGGTGGTGATGAGTCAATACTTCCCGAGCACCCCTCTGAAGTTTGCCAGCACTCCCAGCAGCTGGAGGCAGGGAGTCAAGCTGCAGTGCGCATAAAGAAAGCCCAGGAGGAGAGAGATGGGGACAGCAAGCACAGAGTGGGGCTCTGCCCTGTCCCAGCCACCTCCAGTCCCCCATGGACATCTGAAACCAAGGACATTTGGTGCCAGACTCACGAGGTGTGTGGTAGAGGCTGATTCTGGTGTCTCAGACGAGCCCTGAGAGATGGACCAGCTGGGTAGTGGCACATTTAGAGCACCTCCAAAGTTCTGACCAGCTGTACCCCAGCAGCTCTCTCCCCGTGTCACTTACATTCACATCCAAATGACCTTCGCAAAGGGTGCATCAGATCCTGCTGCTGTAACACAGATACACGAGCCACACCTTCTCCCATCTGCTCAGCTCAAGATCTGTTACAAGCATCTTTGGTTTAAGTTTCTCTTTGATTCCAGGTTTGGCTGGGATGGGGATCACTTCTCCCAGCACCAAGAGCCACCACTTCCAGCTTCCTGATAGAGAGGAAAGGGAAAATTGCCATAGAAAAGCCCATAACAGAGGGGTAGCCATCATCAGGAAGAAGCTTGGCCCACCAGGACCACTGCATCCTGAAGGACTGAGTCAGCAAGGTAGTCTAGGTGTTAAACAGGTGATGAAGCACCAGATGTTTGTCTTTTTTTTTTTTTTTTCTTCCGTTGGGTGTAGGGAGGAAAAAAAAGGGAAGGACCAGGACTTTGCTTGTGCAGCTTTGAGGGGAAAGTATTTGTTAAATGTAATCTGCGATTGCTGGAGCTCTCAAGTAGCGCACTGACAAGTCTGAGTAACTCTTGCATCACCAGAAAGAGAAGAGGGCCAGGGGGAACCATGTGCAAGACTCCTGGACTTGCAGAGCCCTGGAGACATTTGGAGCATTTGGATCAAGTCCTGAGTTTCTACATTCCCCGTTTTCAGCAAAAAGCTCTGAAAGGCAGAGGGAGAGCAGATGGGAAGAAATCAAATTCTAAAATCTTCTAGAAGACAAGAAAGATCTCAATGCGTGGTTGAGGGCTGCATGGGAGGGTTCAAAGCTCATGGCTTCCCACTCTCCTGTATGTACTGCAGGATACTAGAGCCATTTCTGAAAGATGTAATTTCATTTCTACAGCATCCTGCTGGCTTCGTGCCTCTTGGTGTGATTTTTCCACATGGGAGGATTCCATTGGAGCTATTAAGAAAAAAATGTGTGGATTGCTCTTTGATTTATCATTTCACTCTTTCAGCCCTCTGAGGGAAATTTCCCTTAAAACTGGATGGCTTTTGCTTCTGGAGACTCAACTTTTCCACTGTGCTCGATAGGATTTGGGCCTGGGGGAGGGAAAGGAGTTGGTTAATCTTCCCATTTGTTTGGCTGTTTCATCTAAAATACTTCCAAGCCCAGCCACGACTGCTCCTCCTCTGCCAGTCGCAGTCCGATGTTATAAAGATTAACGGTCAGAGTGTGAAAAAAAAAAAAAAAAGAGTAACTAGAACACACATTTAATCATCTTTTTTTCTTTTTTCTTCCTTTTTTCTTCCTTTTCTTTTTTTACACGTATGTATCTATATATATAATTGCCCTTTCAGATAGTTTCCCCTTGTCTACTAACTGAAGTTGCACCCACATGATGCACAGCAAAGGAAGCCACATTGGGGTGAAGCTGTCCCACTTGAGAACAGGCATTCATATCCTCTAAAAAGCCAGCAATTATGAAACTCAAGCCTCCAGAAAATGCACACTTTATGAGCATGAAAAATATATATTTTCATTTAAAGACAGCCTACTCTGAAAAGAAAAAATAAATAGTCTTGTGCCTTCTTGTGCTGCACTGTGATGGGGAGATGATGGAAAGCTGCCTGGCAGCAGGGATTTTCTTTTTGTTGTCAGGGACTTTGCCTGGGTTTGAAGCCTGGAGGATTCGCAACATTCACAACAACCTGGAGCTGAGCAGAAAAAATTTCCTCTTTGGTTTGAATTTTGCCTGACAAACCCAACCATCCAGAGCCAAACTCAGCAGAGTATCTTCTCCACGGGTGTCCATGTTCCTTGAAAGGCCACGTTTGCTTTGTGGCTGAGTGTGCAAAGGCAGGGACAGGCCCCAGTGTAGGTTATGGGATGTTTTTCTTACTTAGCATCCTGCTGGTTACTGGTGCTCACCACAAGCTCACCCAAGTCATGTGTGAGAGTCACCACCTGACACAGGGCCGTGTGGAACAGATTGCCCAGTGATGTGGTTGGTGCTTCATCCCTGGAGACTTTCAAGGTGAGGCTGGATCAGGCCCTGGGCACCCTGATCCAGCTGTGGTGTCCCTGTTTATGGCAGGGGAGTTGGATTAGATGGCCTTCAGAGGTCTCTTCCAACTCTAAGGATTCTATGATTCTATGGTTCTACGATCTTTGGGACATCCCAGAAAGTGCCAAGAGATACCTCAGCAGTGATATTTTGACTCATGTTTTGATACTCTCATCCAAGAAAACACAACTCCTGTGCTACCCCCAGTAGAGAAAGATGTGATGAACAGAGAGGTGTGGCCAGGTGCAGGAGGACCTGGTGTCCCATGCAGTGTTAATGGCAGCCTCCCTCGCCCAAGCCCTACCTGCAGGAGGAAGTCGAAGAGCGCCAAGCGGCCCCACTCACCACGCTGGATGCTTGCACAGGCCGTGTCTCCTGCCACCGGGGCCACATTGTGGGACCGTAGCATCTCCTGATACTGCAGCCACCCCAGAGCACAGGAGTTCTGGTCATTGTTGGTGTCCTCCAGGTGCTGGACGTCGGGTGCCCACCAGATGAGGGGCCGGGGGGCACCATTGGTGTAGCTGTAGGGTAGGATGGGGCTGGAGAAGCGGCGAGCCACTGCGGGCAGGCTCCTGTTCAGCCCCAAGATCCTGTCCAGGTGGAAGGCCACCACCTCATAGAGGTCTGTGGAGCGCTTGATGAGCCCACATCGCCCATCCCCACAGTCCTCCCCTGGACTGGCAGGCTGGGTGTCACCATCAGCGTGCAGGCGGATGCGCAGGACCTGCCCATGGGCTGGCACACGGCGTTTGGAGACTACGCGGCCATGGGCCAGCAGCTCCATCTTCTGGATGTCATCCTCTGAGAGCCATGGTGGGACTGTCTCACCAAAGCACAGCCTGTCCTCCTGAGGTGAGCCACCCCACCTGCATGGCTGATCCACACAAGGAGAAGGCATTGGGGCACCCTGCTCTCTCAGCCACCGTCCTTTCCCCCTATGTCTTTTTGCCCCCTGTCTGAGGGGCTTGTCCCCACATGGGGTGACGGCCACATCTCGCCGGGGCCGGGGTGCCAGCAGGAGCGATGCAGGTGCTGGAGGTGCTGGTGCCACATGGGGCAAAGGGGCCCGGCCATGATCCCCATTTGGTGGTGAGGGGAGGTAGGAGAGTGCCAGCAGGGCCAGGGCCAGCAAGACTACCAGAGCCAATAGGGAAGGGTGCTTCAGCCCTGTCCTTCTCCATGGTCGTTGGGCCTGTGGATCAGAAGGAAGAAAGTCATCAGGAGTTTCTGCATTACTAAACCACTGTATCTGCTTTGCCCTAAAGCCATTGCAGTATCACAGCACCAGCACTGCTGAAAAGCCACCTTGCTGGCTGGGTACCAAGCTCTCATCTCCTCCTTGCTGATGGCCAGCCTACTTTGTAAGTCTCTGTTTTCCAGCCCAGCACCACCCATCTGCTTTACAGGGACATTTCCCAGCAATTCAGCAACGAGGCTTGAGACAATAAGTAGGGAACAAGGCCTTGTTCCTCTTTGCTTTGCAGATATTTATTTTGGAAGTACAAGCATATCCATAGCAGAACATGGTGGGACAATATACTACCAAGGAAGGGATAAGGAATTATTTGTAAGACTAAAAGCTTGAAAAAAACAAAAGATGAAATGCTGTAGGAGAGGGAGCCAGCAGAGTGTCTTCCAGAAGGCAGTGCACAAGAATCACAGAATGGTTTGGGTTGGAAGGGACCTTAAGGACCACGAAATTCCATGCCCCTGCCACGAGCAGGAACACTTCCCACTAGACCAGGTTGCCCAAAGCCCCATCCAGCCTGGTCTTAAACACTTCAAAAGATAGAGCATCCATAGCTTCTCAGGACGAGAATGCTTTGCTCATACTCAGCTTACACTGGCCTCCTCCCATACATCTCCAGATCCATGTTAGAAACAGGTGGCAAAAATAAAGAGGAGTTTCTCAGAAATCTCACACCCATCTGAGTATTTTTCAGAGCCTTGCTCCAAACAACCCAAATAACAACAGCTCTGCTTTTTGCATTCCTAATATCAGACCCTAAGTGCTGCCATCAATGTTCATGAATGCACTTGGGAACTCCTACGTTAATGGTGCAGAAAGCACTCGTGCGTGCACAGCCACTGAGACCACCTTTAATTAGGTAAATTCACACCCTTGAGGGTGCGTGCGGAAATCATTTGAGAAACACTGAAAATGCAATGGGAAAAACCCTATTTATTCCAGTGGGGGAAAGCATCACTGGTCACAGAGAGCCAAACGGATGGTAACGATTATCCTTTCTTTAAAATGTCAAGTTGGTTTGCAGAGTGAGTGGTTGAAGCATCCTTACTGCCTGAAACTGCTTTGTCCTCACCCTGGGCAGGTTTGCTTCAGGCACTGCAAGTTACAGTCGAGCCTGAAGTCCTCCAGTGTGAGCCTGGACCACCACTGCCCTTTCCCTACTCAGCTTACCAAGCCTGGTTTTCCCTGCTACATCCACAGTAATAAGGGAAAAAAAAGTGTGAGTACATCCTATGTGTTATTTCTGGCAGTCGATATTGCAAATTTAATAATAAACTAGATGATACAACATTGCAGAAATGGTGCTATATTTACAAGCCATGGGTAAATCCTTTTCTAAAGAGAACTTCTCCAAGCTCATGCTGTAAAAAATGCTGCACTTGAAGCTATGGCTTCAATTCAGTCTGAAATGAAAACCATACATACTGTTCCACTTTGCCAGCTTGACAAACTGACAGTACAGCACGTCTTCTCTAGAAATTAGGTACATTTCCCAGCAGGCGAGCTAACTAAAAGCCCATAAAAAGGCTTCAGAAAGGTGCTGCTCATTCCAGGACACCAAAGAGCAAACAATGTATATGCTCACGCATCGCATGGACGTACAGCACAACCTGGTTCCTGAAGGCACAGGCTGGCCTTCAAGAGGGATAAAAAACTTTCTGAGTGTGGGTCAGAGGATTTTATCCTTGATGTTTTGTTCCCAGGGCGCCTGAACTTTGGCGGAATTAGCAGCGGAGAAGCCTGTTTTCAATTGCTTTCCAAAGTGCATCAAGTTGGCTTTGTTGAGCTTGGAAGAAAAGAAAAACAAACCCAAAACTTCATTATCCAGGAATGTAAGAAACAGCCTTAAAACCACAAAAGATGCCATAGAAATACATGGCCTTTAAATGCGAGATTCATACCCGTTCCCTTCTGGAGCCTGCCAAATAAACCACAGAACTGTGTGGACAGAAGGCAACGCAGCCCACCGTGACCAAATTAACAAAGACCACTTGAACAGCCACCAGAAATCCTCATCCGCAGCCCACCCTCCCAGGAGAATCTGCAAAGCCTTGCACTCATCACAGCTGCCCAGGAACGTGGGGCTGGCAGGGGCACATCCACACGATTCACCACATGGCATCTCCTCCAGGAACGGCATGGCACCATCCCTCCGGTTATGGCTGGAAAATGCATGAGTTTATCAACAGGAAAGCTCACAGCAGCCAGGAGACCAAATCTCTTTCTCACCAGAGCACGAGCTGAATGAAATCCCCAGCAGAGCCCATGATTCAAGTGCTAAGTACCTTCCTATATCATCCTGCCTGGGGAAGATATACGGCTTGCCAAGTGGGTCTCTACTAAGACAGCTCATGAATTACAGCCACCAGCCCTGAGGCAGCTGCAGCCCCCATCATACCCCATCAGATGTACAAAAGGGGCCACAGCAACCCAGGGACAGAGGGAAGCTGGATCTGCTGCCACGTGTTGCTGGGTCTGTCCTGCCAAACTTTCCCAGCTGGCACATGGGAATGTTCAGCTCTATGATTGATGGAAAGGACACTTTCCGTCTTGATGCTGTCTATGGTGCAACTCATATTCCCACCAATTTAATCCCAGGAGTCAGCACATAGCAGCACCAGAGCAAACAGTCTCCAGGATGCTCCACTTACAGTGTTTGAAGCTTGTGGTCCTGCCGCTGCCTGCTGGGTTTTCCTTGCCTCCTCTTCCTGCTGTACCCCAGATGCACACACGATGGCTTTCCCATGTGCGTGGGGAAGCTGCAAGAGGGGCCCCTTCCCCAGCAGAACAGATGTGGCTTGCCTTTGTGCAACATCTGCACTGCGTGTGCCCGCACATCTCAAACAGTGCTGCCTTTGTGCAGTGGGAGCCGTACAGAGGATGCTCTGGAGGAGGGCAGCAGCCTGCAGACTGCATGCTGGGGTTGTCCGCGTCTAATCCTGCACACACGCTGCTTCTGCATGCTGGTTTCCTTCTGGTGGAGAACAATCTGCTTTCTTCCTCACATTCTGCAGGACCCAGAAGCCCTGCTCCTCATGACTCCTGATGCAGCATGAGACTCAGCTGCATTGCTGATTTCTACAGCACGCACAAAGACAGGACAGCAACAACAGCAAGGAGCCCGGAGCCACCTCAAGTCCCTGTTCTCACAATGTCCCTGACCCCAAAGCTTCTTCTTTCCAGAGCTGCTCACCAGCTTTGGCTCCTCACCTTCAGTGGGGTTGAGCTGGTTCAGTTCCTTTCTGCATTATAGCAGCAAAGAGCAAAAGTGCTGGAAAGTGACATCTTTTTGCAGAGGGGTTTGAGCTACATGGGCTACAGGGAGGAATATATTAACATGAAATCAAATTCTGTTCCCTTCTTGCTCTTGGTGAGCTTACCAATCCTGTTGATGAGCGCCTGAAGAACTGCCAAACCTCTCTTACATATTTCTCGGACCTGATCCAGTTCTATTTGTTTTATGGGGGGTTACATTTTCCCCGTGGCTGAGCTTGGGGTGAATTTCAACCCTCTTTTGATTTTCAGCCTTCGTAGACTGGCTGCAGAATGCTCTGAGCGCATTTCGGTGCAGGCAGTGTGAGCGGGCTGGCTCCATCTCCTCTCGCTTGCTCCAAGGGATTTTTTTCTTCCTGGAGAGCAAAGGAGTGCATTCGTAGGATTCCACAGCTGCAGCCAGGAGTGGGGGGACAGCGGGGCCATTCAGCCCCAGGCTAGATTGAAAACAGAATTGTTCAGACGTGCCCATCCTCAAATACAGGAAGGTAATAATTTCATTCAATTTAAACCATTCCTTCAGTTCCTATGCAGAAAATTAAAGGGAAAGGAGTTTGCTCCCTGCCTGGCTTTGCCTCTGCCTCTCACTTTCCCTTCTCCCAGCAGACCTCACCAGGTGAATGAATGAGCACTGTCCTAGGGCACGGTGAGCAGCCGCAGAGCTCTGAGCCTGTGAAGCAGGAGGGGCAATTCTGGCATCTGGCAGCTCTGCAAGAGCAGTAATAAAGTGTAGTCAGCCCCTCTTGGTCATGGTGCCTCATGCTGGGAGAACAATGGACTGTTGGAAATTCCTTGCTGGTAGATTTTGAAGCCAGAAGCTGGAAGAAGTCAGAAATCATCTGAGTGTCTTGCTTAGGGTTTATGCACAGATGAAGCAACAGGACAAGCAGCTGAGGCACAGCTGGAAATCAATCCCCTTCACTGTCACTAACCTGCCTTCAAGGGTCTAGATCAAACGCCAATTAAAAGTGAAATCAATCAATACAGGAATTCACCACGAAGAAACAATGGCATCATCAGACCTGCTCTTGCAAAGGGAGAATGGAAATCCAGGTGGAAAGTGAATGCCCTGCTTCAGCGGGGAGACCACAGCAGCACCTGGCACGCATTGTGAAAGGCTGCACAGTGCAGGCTGGAAGGGAGGGCAGCGCTGCAGGGGGAGCCTGGCATGGGGAGAGCTGCCCCGCTTCTTCCTTTGTCGGGAGGAGCCACTTCTGATCCCTAGATGTGTGACACCCTCCCCATTTGTTCTTTTTTTCCTTTTGCTGAAGATTGCTAATTGGGAAACTCAGATCAGTGTGTGCAAGTGGTGGTGGAATGGACACTGCTGAGTGCCACATCTCCCTGCACAAACACACACACACACACACACCAGCACTGCTGCCCCGACAGACACACCGGCTCCCACGGCCACGCAGCTCCTGGGACTGAGAGACCTTGAGGTGACATAGGCAACGCTGCCACAGAGATTCACTGCTTCTGATTAAATATTCTTTCTTCCGTGAGACCACCAGGCAAAATGCATCACCCTGCCCGACAGCAGCACCTCAGCCCAAGGAACTGTGTCTGTGGATATCCTCACGACTTGCCGTGTGCATTCCCCATACTATCAGCAAGGACAGACCCATGCTGGAGCCTTGCCTACATGTCCCAGCCCTGGGAGAGGTCCCTCCACACTCATTCCCCCAAAGATGGGTCAGCTGGGGGACATCCTCGCACCGCATCCCATGGGGTTGGTGCCTCTGAGAAGGCTCGGCACCTCCTCCCACCCACAGCTCGGCAAGGAGACCCCTTATCATACCATGGCTGGCAGCATCTGTCGGCTCGCTGCTCCTCGTGGGCTTCGCTGCACGCGGTCACCGTTGGGCTGACCCTGCTCCCCAGCAGCAGTTCCGTGGAGAACCGGGATATTAAATACATTATTTGTATATAAAATATCTGGGTGGCTGATCCACATCCCCTGTCCCCCAGGCGCCAGGCCAGGCGCTGCCGCCCCGTGCCCTTCAGGCTGGCGGCAGTCCCTGCGCTGAGGACGCCTGGCCAAGTCCAGCCGCCAGTTTTCCAACTCGGCAGCAGCCCGGACCCACCTCCCGGTGGGGGGAGCAGAGAGGCTGGGAAGGGGGGAGCAGGCATTTGAAGAGTCTCTTTTTCACAATAAAAGCCCTTCTTGCTGCTTTTTTTTCCTTTTTTTCTTTTAAAAACGGAGGACCGATTTGATCCAGGAGGTGCAGGTAAAGGGTGAAGTGATGTGAACTGCTCCTGAGCCCCTGAGCTGGGACAAGCAGGGGAGCAGCAAAGCCCGGGGACCCCACTGGTCCCACAGCACCGCACCTGGCAAAGCGAGCCCCAGGTCTGTGTGTACGTGCCCAAAAATACCTTTCAAAGGATCCTAGCAGTGAGTGATGCCGTTGAATAGCAGCACAGCAGAGAGCTGCACTGACAGCTGGAGTGGCAGGGTGAGGATTTCTGAGCACCTTGAAAGGAGTTCATGTGTTAAAAGCCATTTTTGGTACTCTGACCATTGAGACTGTTGATATTATGATCTATGACCTATAATCTATGATTAGTCATAGAATCACAGGATCATAGAGTATCTCAAGTTGGAATGGACCCACAGGGTCATTGAGTCCAGTTCCCAGATCCACACAGCACCACCCAAAACCCAAACCCAGCATCTGAGAGTGCTGTCCAAACGCTCCCTCAACTCCGGCACTTGGGGCCGTGCCCACTGCCCTGGGCAGCCCACCGTGCCCACCGCCCTCTGGCGCCATTGGAACAGGCATGGACGGCTGCTGCAGGAGGCAGACGTAAGGGATCAGCAGCCAAACTGCAGTGATAAATCCACAGAGCCTAGAGACAGATGCTCCAACCTCAGCATTCAGAAATTTTGATCTCATTCCCACACCTTCCTCAGAAGAAATTCTTCCTAACATCCAACCTGAACTTCCCCTGGTACAAGCTGAGGTCATCCCATTTCTTCCTATCAGTAGCGGAGAGAAGAGGCCGACCCCCACCTCAGCACAGCCTCCTTTCAGGCAGCTGTAAAGAGCGATCAGGTCTCCCCTGAGCCTCCTCCAGACTGAACAATCCCAGCTCCCTCAGCTGCTCCCCATCAGACTTGTGCTCCAGACCCCTCACAGCTCCATTGCCCTTCCCTGGACATGCTCTAGAGCCTTGATGTCCTTCTTGCAGTGAGGGGCCCAAAACTGAACACAGCATTCAAGGTGAGACCTTACCAGTGCTGAGTGCAGAGGGATGATCACCTCCCTGCTCCTGCTGGCTGCATTTCTGATACAAGCCAGGATGCCATTGGCCTTCTCATCCACCTGGGCACACTGCTGGCTCACGTGCAGCCGGCTGCCCACTGACACTGCCAGATCTTTTTGCCCTGTGCAGCTTTCCAGCCAAGTTTCCTCTCAAAGAGCAAAACGTGGCTCTGAAATGACACAGAAAGAGGCACACAGGAGGCTCCCTCTGAACATGAGACAGCACTTCTACTGCTGCGCATATGACAGAGATCTGGCATAGGCTCAGAAAGGCTGTTGGGTCCCCACCATGGAGATCTTCTCCCCTTCTGCCTCAGGAGCAGGGACAGAAGCTACTGGAGCCAGGGTGGGTACAGGCCTCAGAAAGGATAGCAAGGTCCAGAAAGATGTTGAACCTCTGAGAAGGTGAACAGATAAAGTTGAAGGGTATCTTTTCCCCATTTAGAAAAATGTGAGGCTCTAATGGGTTTGAGGAGCCGTGAATACAACTTTCCACATACAGCAAGATAATTATAAGCTTGAATGGATTTCTGAGACCCAATCGCTACCCGTATAAATCACTGCCTATCACCCACTGATTACAAATGAGCTGCTAAGAAAGCCTTTGGATTTCTCTTTTCTCCCTGTTATCTCTTATATCTGCTGGCAGCGGGCCTTGACACCAAGGAGCAGCCTACAGAGGATACCCTGAAACTGCAGCCACCCCCCCTAGCTACTGCAAAGGGACGGCAAGGAGCAAGCAGGAAGAGGAGAGCCAGGCAGCTGCCAGGGGTGCTGGGCTTGGGGTTTGCAGAGCTAGAGATGCTGAGAAACTGACAGGATGCTAAACCAGGTCTTCATCTGGCTTCTGAGCACGATGTGTCCCCATTCCTGGCCACTGTCCCTAAAGGGGACACAACCCAGCTCCCTAATGCAGGGAAAACACAGGTGATGGGAGATTTCTGCATATCTGGGAGGTAAGGAAAAAGAACCTGCTCTCTCAGGATGTCTGCATTGCTCTCATGGCAGTGAGCCCACTCAGGTCAGCACTCTGATTTCCCATAAATAGGCCCCAACCAGAGCATGGGGGTACATTAATGCTGTCAGGTGCTTCTGTCATAACTTTTCTGCCTCAAGATAAAAGTCAGAGGGCCTCATCCTGAACCAGGAGAACATCTTTATAAACAGCACTCAGATTTCTCTTTATAATTTACTCATTATTCTCTCTCTTCATTATTAACCTAAAGGAATGGCATAGAGCTGCATCAAGGGAGGGTCAGGTTGGGTGAAAGGAAAAGGTTCTTCACCAGAGGGTGGTGGGCATGGAACAGGCTGCCCAGCGCAGTGGCCACACTCTCAAGCTTAAGAGTTTAGGAAGAATCTGAGCAATTATGCTCAGGTATGTAGTCTTATTTTTGGGTGGTCCTTTGTGAAGTCAGGAGTTGGACTTGATGGTCCTTATGTGTCCCTCCAAACTCAGGATATGCTATGATTCTATGATTTACCATTCCTCTAATCTGCAGACCTCACCAGCAAATTAAAGTGTGTGGATGTCTGTGTGTACCCTCAACTTTATTGCTGTTTAAAAATATTGGAAATCTGATGAACAATGGTGCAAAGAGTCTTTATCACTGATGTCCCCTTAGAAGAATCCTGAGATCAAATATCAAGCAGCTTCCTCATCATAGAATAACTAAGATTGGAAAGCCCTCTAAGACCATCTAGTCCAACCATCAACCCATCCCTGCCATACCACTGTCCCTCAGTGCCACATCCACACGGTTCTTCAGTGCCTCCAGGGACGGTGACTGCACCACCTCCCTGGGCAGCCTGTGCCACTGCATCACTGCTCTTTCTAAGAAGAAATGTTTCCTAATATCCAACTTGAAATCTGGTACACGAAGCTCTGACTAATACAATTTCAGGACCCAATGGCTATGTGGTAAAACACCATTACCTTGGAAACACCCAAAAGTGCTCTGCTGGCACAGGCACCAAGTTCTGACCATAAAGGTAACAAAGCTTTTCCTGAAAGGAAGTTACTTGAATTGAACCCCCAAAGATGCTTACGTTGACTATAAATGTACCTTTGTTACTAATGCAGGAAAAAAGTATCCCAAAAGGCTAAGACCAGGGGACTGTGTCCTATTGGCTCCCTGTGGAAGAAGATAGGAGCAGACCCAACGAGGCCCCCGTGGCACTTCCTGCATTGTGATTCTGTCAGGTTTGTCCTGTGCTCCAGGAGGAAATTTGCAGTCTGAACAGGGACACATCATTTCAACTTCACAGCAACTCACTTCTTTTTCAGCTCATCAACCTGAGCTTCCATGGACTCCTCTGTGAAATGGCATTTTCTCACCACCATCTCCAGCCCCACAGCTGTCTCAAACACAGGCTGATCCTCAATAGACTGGTTTGCAGCTCTGAATAGAGCAGATTCCTCCACAACCAGTACCAATTCCTGGGACACCTTATCACAAGGTTGTGGACAGGGGCAGTGTGAACAGGCTTGAGAAATTAGACAGATTCACAGGCAGATCTAAAAGAGATTCTGAAGAAACTGAGCAGGGGAAAGTCCTATAGCAGGGCTGGTCCTACTACTGTACACGTTGGAGAAGGGGAAGGGCCACACTGCTGTTCTGTGCCCACCCAGCACCTCCCAGGCACAGTTGTTTCTCGTAGGTCACGTTCAGATGGCTGGGAGCTGAGCAGCCTGCTCATGTATGGGCACAGAGCAGCAGCTTGCCAGACTCCCCCCGGACTCTGAAAAATGCTTTGAGCAACCAGAGCAAAAATGATGCCGCTTTTAGCTAGTCAGAGTTAATTTGCTTCATTATGCCATAAACCCTCTGATTTTTTCCATTATCCACAGAGGCTTCCAGGATGAGTTAAGGCTCGCATATGCAATGCGAATGAGACAAGAGGTAGAAATAGACGATAAACAAGCTCCCCCCTCCCCCCCCAAACCATTTAAAGTTATTCTGAAGCTCCAGGGGGAAGAAAAAGGGGAAGAAAAGGAAAAAGCCCACAAGTCTATTTCCCATTCTTTCTTTATATCACCTTTACACAGCATCAATCAGCAGCTCAGCTAGGAGCAGCCTTTCTTTTGTTTGATGGCTTGGGTAAACATGAGGTTCAAACAGCGGCTATAAGACTTGACTGCTGAGTTATTGTGAAAAGTATTCAGATGTTGTGCCCTCCCGCTGGGTGTCTTCAGGTAAAGCTCCAGCTGATCTCAAAGATAATATTCCTCCCTGCTATTTAAATATCAACATTATTCCTTTTCTAAGGCACATACCAAAGCAGAGCATCCAGGTGAGATCCTGCCACACAAACCAACTCCAAGGGCACTGTGCCCCAGTGGAGCACACAAAGCAGGCATGAAGAGGGCTCTCCTGTCCATCACGGGACCACAAAACAAAATATCCTGAGACACACCTTCGCGCCATGAGGCCAAAGGAGAAATGCTGAGGAGCATCTGTGATGGATGCCCCACCCCTGAAGGTGCTCAAGGCCAGGTTGGATGGGACCCTGAGCAGCCTGATTCAGTGGGTGGCAGCCCTGCCCACAGCAGGAGGCTGGCACTGGGTGGACTTTGAGGTCCCTTCCAACACAAGCCATTCTATGATACTACGATTCAAGCTCAAAACATCAAAAACTATCCTGAACATGAAAAAATGACAGGAATTATAAAAGGAAAGAACCAAAACACAAAGACCTGAAACAGGAAAAGCAAAGACCACACAGCCAGTCCCTGAATTTGCTCCATATAATATTTGTAAGCCACATAATGCTTATCATTATGCAACCAATAATGTCCTGAATAAGAAGTAAAAAACATCTTAAAAAAACATCTTAACAAAAGGCAGCACGTGGAGTTTTCAGATATCTTTTCAACATGGACTGGGGGGAGGAGAGGAACACACAAGTCTGGAAATGCTTAAGGGACACTGCAAGCAGAGGAAGACAAAAAGCAGAGGGAAACCAGAAGAGAATCACACAAGCCCATGACCAGCACTGATGGCACAGGAGCTCAGCTGGTGCCAGCGTGAACTGCTTTTTGGTTGAGTTGCCATTGCTGCATCAAACACCTAAAACAGCCATGTTCCACCTGAGGATCGGCCCAGCCCGCCCTACAGCCAGCCCCTGCCCCACACCATCATTGTAGCAGCTCTGCCACACAGAGCAGCCCAGCCCAGCCATGGGCACACAACCATTGCCCAAGGGAGCCCTGGCAATTCCTCTTCATGCAGTGCAGCCCAGACAAGCCCAAAAGTGACACACACACCAAGACATGTCTCTCAGCACCACACTGACATCTATGAAATCTCTCTACAGAGCAGCAGCTGAGCACGGTGGCAGCAGCTGTGGTTTGGGTAAGAATTTGCCTGTGGAAGAGTCATTTTTTAACTTTCATTTTACCAAAAAGGAGCACAAGCAGTGCTAGAGGCTCTGGGAGGGTGCCGCTTGTGGAGCCCACTGGGCATGACAGTGTTCAAAATGAAACTTCAATTATGGAGAGCACAAGGCATGGCAAGTTGATGTGTTGGCCCAGCACTGCAGCCTTGCACAACAGCTGCACCAGGTTGTTGTTAATTACACTAAGGGACTCCAATCCTGCTCCCCTAGTTGCTCATATCTCCCAGAGTTGGCAGCATCTGCCTCTGACTGCAGCTGAGAAGAACTTATCTGCTAATCCCAGAGGTAAAATCACCCTCTCTACTCCTACACGTTCTGTGTGAAACCAGCTAAGAACATCAATACCACGACTTCACCTTAAGCTGTTTCTGAACAGCAGATCCGATTTCTTAACACTCCACAAAGTAAATTAAAGACGTACATGCTGACTGGGTCCAGCAAATTCCATCTCAGTCAACTATAAATGCAAAATAAAGATATGGATAAGCACATCCATCACTGTCAAATATTCATGCCATCACCTTTGTTTGGCACTGTTCCCTCGTATGCAAGGGCAGTTACCTTATGAGGTGCTGTGAAAAGCATATATTGCCATCGTGTGGTAAGCATTAGGAACAAACCCATCCTTCTGCCTTGTTTTGTTGTGTGGCCTTTTATCCTACCATCCAGCACAGAAGGCACAGCACCCATTGCTTGAGGAGCTGCACCCCTGACACCATGCAAAGCCACAGGCAGTTTGAGAGCTTTCATCACTTCTAAGGAGCAGCACAGGAGCCTCACACACAACACGCTGTCAGGTGAAGTTACCCAAAAACCTGGTACATTCTACTGTTTCTCTTTCCTCCAGACTGTAATCCAATATAACTTAACATCTCCAGATGCTTGAATGCAAATTCTAATCTCAATTTGCACTGTTTCAGAGGGTTTTCTTCCTCAGTTACACCATTCACACCAATCATGTGTTTGAACTCAATTTCCAGAGGCATAGAACTGTTGTCTCAAACTACTTTCAAGTGCCTGAGGAAACATGCCCAGTTTTAGTTAAAAGAACAACCAGGCACATAACTATTGATGAGCATTCATTTTTAAAGGCACACATCATCAGCCTACTTGACAATATATGAATGCATATTTGACAGTGTCCTTGAAGGTCTTACAGCCTTCATTTTTCAATATTCTCCTGCTTCCATTTTATATTTGACTTTAAAAATTACTTCCCTTTGTACTACAAGAGAACTCAGATCTACAATTTCTTCGTTCAACATGAAGAAAGAACATCCCCTGCCAATAGACCACACCTGAGAAAGCATGGAAGATGCTGACATTTAGAGACGCAGGCATTAAAGTGTAAAGACTAAATAAATTTGAAATACTGAATTCATGGATTATTTTTTAAGTCATGTCCCTTTTTACTTAATGGTTTTGATTAAGAAGTGGCAATTGTGTGCTGCATAGTTTAAGGAACTTAAGTGTATGGTACTGATACAAAGTATCAACTTCAAACATACTGAAGAGCTGACAGGCTAAACAAAACCATCCATTTCCATTTTGTTAATAAACCACTCAGCACAACTGCATGTTTTTAGACATTTGTGATGCAGAAGTATCCCAGGTCACTGCTCACAGACTACCAAATGATGTCTGAGGATATGAACTACCTTGAGTTACTAAAAACATCAATATTTCAAACTATCTTGGGTACAAAGTACTGAGCACAGTCTGCATGGTCAACAGAATGTGACAAAAACATTTCTGTGTGCTCCGGAGAAACCCTTGAGCCCAACACCTGTAATATTAATAAATGAGACAGACAACAGAAGTGAACTTGATTACAATTTAGATCAGATCTTTTACCACTTGTCATTTCTGAAGAATCAGAACATGGACGCAAAGTGATACAAAGCTAGAAGCTCATTTTATTTCTGTTTCTTCTCTGTCTTCTTGACTTTCTTAGTTGTCTTCTTCTGGAGCTTCTTAATTTCGTGCTTAATGATCCTGTTTCTCTGTAAAAACAACAAAAAATTACAATTAATCAGATGGAGACTACAACAGTTCAGAAGTATTATTCCTCAACTTCAGTTCTAAGCTTTCAGATTCTGCCCTTTCCAGCAATAAGCCTTTGCTAATCTGACTGTATTTTAATAAGTCAAAAGATTTACCACGTATTACATTTAAAATGTCAAATTCCACCTAAAACTGATCTACCAAGCAGTAAACTTGGCTCTGGCTGATCCCAGTATTCCATGTGTAAGGAGTTTAGTACAGAATGAAATACTAACTGTATCCAATAGAGAACATCTCATTTCAGCAGCAGGTAACTCCTCAGCTATGACTCACAAGACTGACACACAGGCCAAGTGAATTCAAATCTGATCAATGACTGACCAAAGAAATATAAAAAATTCAAGGCACCCCAATATTTTTTGTTACTCTATAAGCCAAGCCAACTATAAAGGCAAGACTACCAAGGATCTCCATATGACTCTAAAAGTAAAGTTTAAAAGCATTAACCCTGTAAAGAAACTACACTCAAACACTTACCATTTTCTTTGCCTTCATAACCTTGTAACGATCGAAGTCAGTCATTTTGGCTTTCTGTTTGAAAAGAACCAATCATGAGGCTGTGCTACATATCCATGTAAGTTATAGAACTCAGCACTTTAAAATGTTCCACAATTAACTCTGATCCCCTCCAGACTGGGTCTAGCTACTCAACTGGAATTAGTTCACTACAGAAGGCCTTCACTGGGATGCAGTGATTCAAGAAAAAAAAGGAGATTATAGAAATGACCAAATAAAACCAGTTCTTACAGTACAAAGACAAGTTAAAGCTGATAGACAGCAATTTTTCATCTACACTACGACGACTTTTAATCCTAGCAAGAGTAAATACATAATTTATTATACTAGAACTAATTTTCACAAGCAGAAGCAGTAAGAAGTGCATTACACATCCAGTTAAAACCCATACCTTTTCTCTGGCTTCAATCTTCTTTGCCCATCGTGTGGCTGCCCACTTCTCATTTATATTCTCCTTCTCCCAGGCACGACGCACACACTTCTGACGAGCGCTGTATGAAAAGAGCCAAGTAGTTATATTGATTATCTGTACAAACCGTTCTCTCTGATGCCATCTGATCCAATTTCACACAAGGGAAGATCATCCTTCTCCATTCCTTCAAATGCAGAAACCAACCCTTCAGTTTAAGTCAATTATACCACAGGGATGCATGTGGCATTCAAATTTTGCTATGTATGCTTTGCTACACTCACACTCCCAGCAATGGATCTCATGGTTCTCAATCAAAAAGCAGCTCAGATAACAACTACATCAGAGTTCAGCCTCCTAAAACTCCATGCAGCTCTGCAAAGAGGGAATGTATTTAATGTCTGAAAGTGACATGAGTACAGCAAACACACAGCTGCACAGTACTACTGCAACTGCTTCCACTTACTCCTCATATCCCATTCCTAACTGCAAGCTGCCCAGGTCACATTGTATCCCATATACTCCAGCAGCAGTTATCAACCAGTGGTGATAATGGAAATCTACCCAAACTCAGCTGTTATAACATGGTCTGCACAATTTTAGCTGCATATACACTGTAAGTTATATGAACATCTCTCATCAGATCAGGCAGCGACAATGTTTTATACAGGCAAAAAAATAAAAAAGCAAAAAGCAAACAATTCACCTATGCGGGAACTTGAGAACAAAGTCAGTCAGCTGCATGCATTTGAAGGGCATGGCTTGTCTCCTGACACCACTGCAGGGGCCATCAACGAGTGCCTGAAAAAATGAGTTACTTTTAAAAAGTGGGTTTTTTTTTCCCATCATACTCCAGTTAGTTTCCTAATAATTTAGGAACTTCACCTTGATACTAATACTTCAAATCAAGATACATGTTATTCAGACAAAACCAGAAATGACATCTTGTGCATACAACCTAAACCTTACAGATTCATTTTCATCTCTGGAAGAAAAAAAAACTTAAAAAACACACCCAATAAGATCTTTTTTCAACTCTTCAGGATAGAGGGATCTTTTCATATAGTGAAAAGAACCTGTCTGTCAGGCATCAGTGCCATTCCATTCAGAGGTTTCAGCCTCCAAGTGGCATTTACTCAGCCTCTTCTTTTCTCAGGAAAGATGGGAGAGGGTAGCTTGCTACCAAAAGTTTAAAATACAATAACAGCTGTTCAATCCCATCTGTGTCAAATGCTTACTCCCTTGAATAATCACCGACAGGAAACTCCCTTTAAGCTCTATATACAAGGCCCGAGCGCTCGAGCTGTTCACAGAGAACGAAGACGACAAAGGCACGGCGCTGTGAGCTGACCCTGTTCTGGTCGATAACATCCACGATGGCCACCAGCTTGCCAGCATGCCGCCCGAAGGAGACGAAGGCGATTCTGCCGATCTCGACGAAGCGTTTGAACACCTAGGGGCAGAAGGATCGGCACGAGTCAGCACTCAGCGCCTCCACCAGCAGCTCCCCGTACCCTCCCTTGCCCACAGGCTCCAGCCCCGCCTGGAGAAGCGCTCGAGGAGAGCCGCTTGGCGAGGCGGCGGCAACCCCAAACACCCCTCACAAACTTCCCCCCACCAATCGCAACCCAACGGCCACGCGCGCCCCGCTCCGACTCGCGTCAGGCGGCCTGCCCCGCGCCCTGCTCCCCGCCCGGCCCCGCCGCGGGGCCAGGAGCAGGGAGGCCTCCACCGATCTCCGCAAGCAAGCGGGAAAGACACGGGGAGGCCCCGCCGGCGCCAGGCCCCGCCGTCGGTCCCGCGGCCGCACGCCCGCACCATGATGGCCGCCCGCGAGCAGAAAGGGAAGGGCGGGCCCCGCGCCGGCCGGAAGCCGCCCTCGAGTCGCTACCACGCATGCGCGGAGGCCACATTGTGCTCTCCCGACGCAGCGCGCCTGCGCAGAACGCCTTCCCCGGCTCGAGGCCGGTCGGGAATGGCGGCGTGCTAATACGCATGCGCGGTGGGCGGTGCGGCTGCGTGTTCGGGACTTTGCGCGCCGTCAGGGCGTGGCGGAATGGCTCCGTCAGCTCGCTGTTCTGGCTGCGGTGGAGGCATATGGTGATGCAGACGTACGTGTAGTTCACATTCTGCAGGATTTTATTCTGTAAGCATTAGCCAAAAACGTGCTCTGGGAAAGAAGAGTGTAAGCAAAGTGCACCGCAGAGCACTAATGGAAAATAGGTCTGACCTTTATTCTGCTGTCTTCTGTCAGCAGTGAGAATAAAGATCCCTATCTAAAGTGGGGTCTTTATTGTTTTTGTTTCTAGAAGAAATCCGAGCAAGTAAATAACGCACTTAATTCACAGAGTGATAGAATCCTCAGAGTTGGAAGGGACCTTTGAAGGTTATCCAGTCCAACAGCCCTGCAATGAACAGGGACACATGCAGCTACATCTGCTGCTCAGATCCAGCCTGGCCTTGAATGTCTCCAGGGATGGAGCACTCACCACCTCTCTGAGCAACCTGTGCCAGTGCCTCACCACCCTCACTGTAAGAGACTTTGTCCTCACATCTAACCTAATTCTCGCCTCTTCAAGCTTGAAACCACTTCCCTTCATTCTGTCGCAACAGACCCTGCTAGAGAGTCTGTCCCCATCTTTCTGGTAGCCCCCCTTTAGATGCTGAAAGCCTGCTATCAGGTCACCTCAGAGCCTTCCCCTCCATGTTCTCTTAATTGATATATTTATTATGCAAATGCCTGGGGAACTGATCATAAAAACTTTGACAAGCACTTAACACCAGCAGGTATTTTTGAAAGTCCTGTCCAGAATATCACTATAACATATATGTATCATATGCTTTACAATAGCAATGTATTAATGCATGTATTAATGTCTTTACCAGCATGCTCTAGGTCAAGTCAGTCGAAGATGCTGTCTTTTGGATTCTTCCATTCTGCAGTGATCTGGAAAAATATTTCTCCTTTTCCTTATTTGATGAACCAAATCTCTGTGGGACTTTGTAAGAGGAAGGAAGGGAGACAACATAAACCTCTGGAATTTTGAACAACCTTTGCATGTTTTATGGCAGAGAGACTCAAAGTCACTCCTGACTGTGCTAATGACTTGGGCTATGCCTTACCATCAAACAACAAAAACATCTGAGAGCACAAATGCAGTGGTATGAAAAATCATTGCTAAAGCAGTGATGGAGTTACAGCATCAGGGGAGAAAGGAAGAGCAACTGATGTCATCTGGCTAGACTTGTGCTGTCTGTTTGATGCTGTCCTATATGACATCCTGGTCACAAAAATGGAGAAGAGTGGATTTGATGGATGGACCACTGGCTGGATAAGGAACTGGCTGAACAGTCTCACTCAAAGAGTTACAGTCAACAGCTCAGTGTCCAAGCGGAGACCAGTGACAAGTGGTGTTCCTCAGGGATCAGTGCTGGGACTGGTGTTATTCTTGGATTTACAAAAGTTTTCTCCCTTTAGTACACTTTTAAAGCTCTACAGCTAGCCTGCAGAAATGTTGCCAAGCAAGCAACTCTAGATACGGCCCATGTACTCATACAGCATTGTGTAATGTAGATAGCACACAGAAGAAAACACTGGTAACTGAAGGTGAGCACTGTTTGTGAGACATTGCCTTCATTATAATCCAAGTGAATACAAATTGGTACTAAAATAACAGAATTTTAAAAATGAATAAAAACTCCCTGATTTGGGGCATGATTATCACACTGTGGCTTTATTTACTTCTTTTTCTGTCCTCTGAACTTATCAATGTTCAATTATGCCATGCAGTAAAAGTTACTGCTTTCTTTTGCATGCTGCTTTATGAGGAGTTTGTCACTGTTGCCCACCCTTAAGTGATGCCTGCAGGCACATCATCTCTTGTTGGTTTCTTCTGCTTCTCCACAGCTGAGATTTTGTTCTGTTATTACATGCTCCTGTTCCTGATGCCTGACAAATCTCTTTCTAAACAATCTGTATCATGACCTACATCAATATCTGGGAAGTTCCTCTTTTTGGCACACAGCCTTTCAGATCTATATTACAGCAGTGTACCTGAAGTAAGCACTGAAAGTGTCAGTGACCCTGAAAGAAATATGAAGTGTTCAAAAATAGAAGTTGTTCATATGTATTGTATATATATTCAGATTTACATGCTTGCACATTAAAATAAATAAATAAATAAATAAATTGGGAGTGGCTTGGTTTAAGCATTGTTGTTTTCTCATTGAGAATATAGATTCTGGAGACAATGAGCACTGTCCACTCCAGAAACTCACAGATGAGTTCTGCAACTTGCAAATTTATATCACACAGCATTTCAGCCTTTCTCTGCTTCTAATAGGAATAACCTGTCTGCCAAGGTGAAAATACTGATATTTGCAAAAGATGGGAAAAAAAAAGTACAGTTGGCTTAGCTTTTCACAATTTATTTGTATTAATCTTTGTAAGCAAGCAGTAAAGAGTACAAAAAGATAAATAAGCTGTAGTTTGTACATGTTTCCAAATCCCGTTCACCTCATTGGCTCCCCACCAGATCTGTTCAGTGGTAGATGTGGGGAAGTTACACCTGCTGATCAGGTTCTGACTCATACATGGGGGAAGATTTGCATCTCCATTGCTCCACCTCTCCCCCAGAAATAACCATGACAGCCAGGGACAGCCAAGCTGCCTGTGTCCAAGCAGTACTTTTTACCTCTAACACTGAATGGGGATGATGCTGCTGACTGGGAGGAAGCTGTAAGCTGCAGTGGTGCAATTGGCTGACTGAAGTTCAGTAGTTTCAGCTTTCCCTGTCAGCTAAAACTGACAGGTGACATAAGACTGAGTTCTTAATTGACTAGCTGTCATACTGATTCAATAAGGACATTATATACATAGGGAGAAGAGGGCACAGATTGTAATTCATGGAGAGAGAGATTTTTTGAATAGATACTGGCTCTATCCAAGTATATCTGTAAGACCAAGTGAATTTTTAATAATTTCACTTCTTTGTTAGCTGCTCATGGGCTTTAGCCAGTGAGCAGAAGATGCTGAATATGGCAGTCTCACTTTTGGTTTACACTTTCTCATACTGAAAACTTCAGTGCAAGAACTGAATAACCATCCCTTCAGAGAAGCTATGATGCAAGCAAGGGAAACTTCCTGCAGAGGGAAGCAATCCTGAGAGGCTGGAAAGGGAGGAATATATCAGTATGTCGACAGCAGCTCTTTGTAGGGCATTTGGGGGAATATGGTGGGTGTACAGAGCTCCATGTAGGTAGTGAATCTGGGCAAAAGGAGATGGCAGAAGGTTGGAAGGGAAACAGAGATGCTTTTTCTCTTCCTGCAGAAACAGCACAGCAATTCCCTCCTTCTGCCAACTCCAAAGCCCTAAGGATATGTCCCCCTCATAAATTCAGAGATCATGTTAAGGCGGTATGAAGAGGAATAGAGACACTGTACAAAGGGAGGAGATGGCAGATGACTTGGCAGAAGTCTTTTCCAAGGGTTAGTTCAGAAGCCAGCTAAGGAAGGACAAAAGACAGACAGGGGAAGGAGGCATTTCCATGAAGGACACCTTGAGCATCAGGTAAATTTGTACTCCAAGATTTAAGTGGGTAAGAATTAGAGGTTTGGCGTAGAATGCCTGAGCTTTAAAGGAAGGCAACTCTTAAGAGCATGAAGGTAGTTGTGTTCCCAGTAAAGGTTTGGAGTTAATGCCACTGACACATCTGCTACATATATCCCAGTGGTGCTGAAAGAATGCTGCAGCCAGGACAGTAGAAAGGCTGATAAAGGCAGCTGAAGGCAGCAGCTGTGACTGCAGCTATGTGGTCTCAAACCCATCACATAAAGGCAGTTCTTCTGGCCTGCAGCTTGCCTCCTAATCCTCTTAGCCTTGAAGGAAGGGCTGAAGTTTTTGCCTACTCATATTAATGCTTCAGAAGATCCAATACAGTTGAAATAATATGTATGTGACAAGCTGGCACTTACTGCATCTGAGATTAGGAGGAATACAGGTCAGGAGAAGAAAATACCAAAAATGTTTGTCATAGTTATTACAGAAAAAAAAAGGACCCTGAAAACTCTACAGGCTTCTGGAGGTAATTATGAGACACTGAAAATTAGGTTCCATTACTGAAAAGATTTTACTTCTGCCTTCAAAACAAATCTAAATGTGCCATAACAGAGGCATTCTGAGATCTTTGTAGTGCTAAAAATATAGTTCAGCTTTAGGATGGGCTTGACAGTCCTGAAAGATGTTGGCAATGTGTTACACCCTAACATGGTGGGGATCAATTGTTTGGAATAGCAATAAAAACAATTCAGTCCCAGCTGTGCTGTTCCCATCAGCTCACGTGATTACCCAGTGCTTGTTCCACTTTCAGAAGTGGATTGTTTGGGGGATTTGTGTTAGCAGCACACACAAGAACAGCCTCTATGTTCTCTTCTCTCACAATTTCTACTGACTCATTCTTAAATTTTATCATAAACAAGTGCTGCCATTGATCAAATGCATCATTTATCAGGTGGCACCGAATTAATGGACAAAAATTCATATGTATCTGACAGAAAGACACTATAAAAACATGAATAAGCAAAGCAGCATGCCTGCCTGTGCTTTATCTGCTTAACGTTGGATACACTAATTTTACAGAAACAACTGCCAAAATATTTCAGAAGCACTCCAGTTCACCATATCACAGACTCCTTAGTGCCTCTTGTCTCCTTGATTTATGCTTCTGATCTTTTCAGGACTTATCACCTGTCTTTAACTATGTTTTTCAAATATAAAGTTCCACATAACTTTATAGGATTATGAGTTTTTTGGTCAGTCTTCAGGTAAGTTTTTTCATTCTGGAGTAAATACATATTCCACATGACTGATAACCTTCTGACTACGTGACACAATACACAGGTAAACAAGGAAGAAAAGACACAACAGTGCCAGAACAGCGAGGAAGATGAGGAGCCCAGCAAACAAAGAAGGTTTCAGAGGTAACTGGATCAGCTTGCCTTCTGCTGGAATCATGTTGGTGAGGCTCAACATGTAACCAAGTGACCATGCTATGCTGCTGTTACCAACCTGAAATACAGATAAAAGAGTCCTATTCCCATGTACTTTTCAGTCAAAGAAAAGAGCTGAACTGCTGATGCTGGCAACTGTCTCTTAAGTTATCAAGGAAAATTGCCCTTTTTTCAGTTCAAGAGGATGCTAATAAAATTGATCACAAGGATGGGTGATATACAAGCAGACAGCCAGTTGTTATGGGCTTTTATGTGCACAAAACATATTTTTAAAGAATCAGCACTAGTGCAAATTCTTAGAATCACTCTCCTATTGTAGCCAAATCCTAGGATGTTATTTAATTCAAGTAAATAAAAAACTCACAGTCCAACTGACATGAACAAAGAGGCTAGGGTAAATTTAATGTTAATGAACAACTTTAAACAGTCCTGCTGGTGGTAGGAGACTACAAGCACCTATAATATTGGTCATTTGTATAGTTGTGTATATTCTAATAACTTTTGTTTAAATAATGTAGAAAAAGCTCCATCAACAAGAACTGAAATACAACAGATTGAGCAAAGCAGTAAGATGGACTAAGTTGATTTTTCATTGATGAAAGAGGGAAAACCTCTCATTATGGGGTTCAGAACCTTTGCAAATCATCTAGTTCTTCATCTGGCACAGATCTTAGCATTGTGTTAAGGTTCTTAAGCTTTCACTAACTAAAAGCAAATATCCTTTTATAGCATGGGCCAGAAAAAAACCTCCACACTTCTCAGTATACTCTCTTGGAGGCAACTGTGCTGTTATTCTGGGATAGCTAGTCACATTAGATGTGACTAGTTTTAGCTCTTTGAGGGGCATATCTGATTAATAGATGTAGTCTTTCTTTTGGACTTTCACAATTACCCTGGTGCAGACTGTAGGTAGCAAATAAGCTTTTGGGTTTCCATTTTGCTCAGTATTTTTATGGTCTTGACTGAAGACAGAAAAATATTTCTGGGTTTGGTTGCTCCCACCTGCAGGGGGCAACAAAACATATGTTTAAAAAAAAAAAGAAAAAAAAAATCCACTCCTTACAGCTTCAGATTAAGATCCCAAAGTAAGCTTTGCTGATTTCCTGGTAGAAGGGCTAAATATGATTTGATTCTTTAGTACACTAGTAATAGAGTATGACTGTTCAGAAAAAACATTATTTATGATTTCTCAGTGAAAGCTTGTCAGCATACCTTGCATTTGAGAACTCCCTGCATGAAGATCTACAACCATTCATTTGTTGTTTTTGCACACAAGTGCCAAAACATTTCCAGACTCAATGGAGATCAAGAGACAACGTAGGACAAGGTTTTACAGTAACAGAGAGGAAAAGATGCAGTCACAAACCACTGCAGGAACTATATTTCCTGATGTAACAGCCAGGCTTACATAGTGGGCAATGCCTTCTGAACTGAAAGCAAGGATTTCTTAGCAGCAGCTTTAGAATGAATGTATAATACCACTTCATCCCAAGTATTCTAGCTTTTAGGAGGAAAATCAGAGGTCAGGGAAGAGTAGTGTAGGTATTACACAAACATGGTTGCAAGCCTTCTGTCTTCCATATCCAAGCCAACAGTCCATCAGTATAAATTCTTATTCCAGAAAACCAGATTACAGCACAGGTGGATGTGCCATCTGAGGATGATGGCTGCCCTAGTTGCTTCATCCCCTGACTACAAACTATCTCTGCCCATTTGCCCAAGGCTCTGGCAGCAAACAGAAAGGTTGGAGTTCTCCTGTTCAGCCCATCAGGATTAGCTCACTGACCTTGTCTGGAGAAGAGTTACAGGCCTTAAGTGAGCCAATACTTTAACTGGGGCAAGGTTAAAAATATAGTATTATTTGATATTCAACACATTGTTAATGCTTTTTAAAAACATAGCCAGCATCACCAAGTAATGATGCAGCCTCTGGAATCAGGCTGAAATTGGCACTGAGGCTTGAAAAGTGGCTTTGTTTTCTGCATAACATTTGACAATCATCTATAAAGGCTGTTTGCAACCATAATATTTTTGTTGGCTGCTGCATCTTCTGTTTTCTTTTAGACATCCTTGGGTTAAAATTTATGAAGAAACAATTATTACTCACCTCCTTTTGAAAGTGTATCTGTGGCCAATTTTCTGCATCAAAGTTGTAGCCATGTACAAGCAAGTAATAAATAAAATTGGCTGAAAAACAGTAGGATCTAGCATATATTTCTTCAGATTTAGGTAGCATAAACTGGAGCTGAAAGCACATTAAAAAAAAAGTACATCAAAAAAAAACAATTAGTTTTTTTTTTTTTTTTTAAAAAAAAAAGAACCCAAACCAACCAGAATACTTTGGATTCTAATTAAAATGCATTAGAAACAGCAAGTAAAACTGTGGACAACTAGAAGGAGATTTAGAGTGAAAACACCATGATGGTGAGACAGCTTATGTGGTAAAAAATAATCAAAATAAACATAAAACTGTACATAAATGATCAAGGATGTTATCCTTCCTAAATTTTCCATGTCATCTTTATGGTGTGGTTAAAACTGTGGTAGTAAACCACAGCCACAAATCTCTTTAAGAGGATCACAGAGTGCACCTTCTGTGTGGCAGTCAGCTACAAAGCTGCGATGATGGTAAATTACAGTAGGAAATGCAGCAAAATGAATGCAAAACAGGGAGCTAGTTTGATAATCTGAGGTACTTCCCTTCAAATTTAATACAGGTCTATCCATTTATCCTAGTTTCACACTAACAGCTGAGATCAGAACAGAGCATGAAGAATATTACAGGAGTAGAAAAACACTGAGTTAAATCTCCATCAAAACGACTGCTCTCTGGATGTCAGTTTTGACCTAAGATGCTCATTTTGAAGATGAGTATCAGCTGGAATTCACAGACCCAAGCAAAGTGCTTTGAACTCTCAGTTCCAAGTTCCACAGTTATGAGAAGAGCAGGACCAGAGTATCACAGAATACACAAAGCATCCCAGACAGATGAAGTAAGCTGGAAAATGAAAAACTGCTGGGTGAAAACAGTGCAAAAGAGGTCATGAAATGCCAATTGGGGCCAATTTACTTTAGTAATTTTAACAATTTTTTACCTTTTCCTCATATGAACTCTGTGGGGACAATAGTGAAACATTAATTTGCCTTCCACCAGTACAAGTTCTTCACAGCCAAAGTTAGCTCCCATTTAAGTCAAATAACAGCTATACTGCATCAGCTCTGTTGCACTGTGGACTTGCTGATAAATGTAGAATACAACTGTTTGCTACTAAGCTGACATGATACTGCTGACAGTGTGGGAGATCAAAGTGTGTTGTTAATAAATATCTAGATAAGTTTTGTTTTAAAGTTTAAATTGGCCTGTTTTATCAGCCTTCTAAATGCTTCCATCATGGCAATCTCCAATTCCCTGGAATAAATAAATTTACACCAAGTATGAGGACTGCTTTGAAAGTATCACAGAATCACAGAATGGCCAGGGTTGGAAGGGACCTCAAGGATCATGAATCTCCAACCCCCCTGCCACATGCAAGGGCCACAAACCTCCACATTTAATACCAGACCAGGCTGCCCAGGGCCCCATCCAACCTGGCCTCGAACACCTCCAGGGACGGGGCATCCACAACCTCTCTGGGCAGCCTGTTCCAGCACCTCACCACTCTCATAGTAAAGAACTTCCCCCGACATCCAACCTAAATCTTCCCTTCCTCAACTTAAAACCATTTTCCCTTGTCCTGCTGTTATCTACCCTTCCAAAGAGTTGACTCCCCTCCTGTTTGTAGGCTCCCTTTAGGTACTGAAAGGCTGCAATGAGGTCACCCTGCAGTCTTCTGTAAGTAATGCCTCTGATTTGAAGCATGGTGGGAAAACATGTTAATATTGACAGAGACCTGAAGAGTTTTGAATACTCAAACAGTCCATTTTCTTTCTATATCTTATTCACGGATACAAAAAAAAAAAAAAAAAGAAAGAAAAGAAAAAAAAGGCGCACTTACCTGGGCCCAGCTTTGTGAACAGAAAAACCACATACTTGAATTGAAGTCAGCTAGAGAAAAGTGTCCAGTTAAATTCAAAGCATTAATTGTATAGTAGAATCCTGAGAAAGCCTATAGAAAAGGAGCAGATGAAAGGCCTTTTCATCAGCAAAACTTTTAGAACTACTGAAATCAAAAGCAAGAAAGTTCAAAAAGAAATGCTGATTTGAAAACCTACCACAAAATTCCCTTTAACTTTTGGTTGATGGATTCCATTGAATGGACAGTCCTCCTGGTTTCTGCAAGTAGTGAAGTTAAACAATAATGAAACCATCTCCTGACACAGACCTGGGTCTCCTGTTCCATGGAAAATTACGGATTGGTTTGGGTAATAGTTTGCTGGTCTCAGAGACTGTGTACAAAGACTGCCACAGAAGTACTTCACTGTTAAGGTAGTCTCATAATTCCGAGGGTAACATGGATTATCCACACTGGAACTGATGCCTGACTTCTGAAGAAAAACAAAGACTACTCAAAAGCATGAAAGACTTAATGTGACGATAACTGCAGAAATCTTTTTAACCCACATACAGGTGTTCTTGATCTCTTCTCTGTCATGGCTGAACACTGTAATCCATATGGACTCTTTTTCTCAAAACCAGCAAAATCAGCAAAACACTTACAGAACTTGTTGAGCTTTTTTTGTCTGATGTTAGAAAACTCAGAGCAATATTTAACAAATATGAAGATCTTAGAAACCTAAGTGCTTTTTGGCCACAGCAACACAAGCTTTTACTGGGGTCTCCAAACTCCACCAAAGGGAAGAGATCACAACCCTAAGAACCTGCTTAGACAATTACTGTAACAGCTGCAAGAGCAGCATAGCAAACGGTCTTAAACAGACCTGGAGCAACAATGCTAAAAGCCTTTTCTCAGCTTCATCTCTCCCATAACACTGGAAGCTGTGAGTGTAGACATTGTAGTCGTAACCATACAACTTCACTTGCATGGTGTTATTGAAGTTCTCCTGAGAGTCCTCTGGGATAAAAGAAATTTGAGTGGAAGCTCCTCCAAGATCCAGTGCACCTATGGTCTCTTTTCTGTACGGATGGACCCACATCCTCCAAAGGTTTCTCTACACATAAAAATAAAAACAAAGCTAATTAGAAATATCATCTGATTGTTCTCCGTTCAAGCTCTTCTACTTTTAACTTAACTTTTTTTTTTTAGATTACCCCTCCCTCTTCACTTTTTCCCGAAACTCTCCTTCACTTTTTCCTGAAAATCTTAGCTCTGAGGAAAACATGCAGATGTTGTTTTTAGGTAATGAGAAGTATTCCCACAGAGCAAAGAGTCTGAAAGATGGAAAAAGTAATACAGCATAGCTTTGAACACTGAGGACAGCACAATAATCAAAGCACTGGACTAGTTTGATCAGTATCTATACTAGAATGCAGGAAATTGAAGTCTGGGTACCTGGGAGATCTGAATGGAATTAGCATGCAAATTTGCTTGTTTCAAGGCAAGATAAATTATTAAAGGAATAGAATACTATTATACACAGGAAAAGAAAAGAGAATGAAAGTAGAGTAAAATAAAAATCAAAGGAACGTGAACCCTTAATCTGTATATTTCCTTCACTGAAACTGCAGTGGCAATAAATCTGATCCGTTCACTTGGCATTTTTCCCTGTTATCCAAAACCTCCCCCAAATTCTGCATCTGATCTACACAGTCACTGTGCAGAATACCCTTTCTGTATTAATAATTCTCTCCATATTTACTGCAGTATAATTTACTATGGATAATGATGTGAACATAAACACAAGAAGGGAAAAGAAACATGGGCTAGCAATCATACTTATGAAAAAAATCTAGTCTTCCCCTTAAGAGCCCATGGGAGAATTTCACTCCTATCTCCAGTCTTCTTACAAGAATAGTGAAAAGCTTCTTGCTCCTACTCATGATAATCCACACATTAGTCTTCACACAACTCTATACTAAACTGCTTCAAAACGTCTAGCATTCTCTTCAGTAGTCCTCATGAATCTGTCATATGGAAATTGAGATCTTCAGTATTAAAATTAATGTGGTAGGAGACCGAAATCACCCTGAAGTTCATGAAGTCATTTTTGTTGCATAAAATAAGAAAAACCATGCCAGAATATGTGATACTACTATTTAGTTTTCTTAACTTAGCAGGAACCAACAACATATTCACCATGAAGTATCACTTGAATTGCCAACTCCTGCTTACTAATTTCCATGACTGAACAGGAACCATTCTACCAAGATAATGAACAATACTCAGAGGTCTGGTTGGAATTATTTTCAGCCTAGCAAGACTATCTGAAAGAACTGCAATAAATGCTAAGAGCAGCACACGACTGCCATGAAAGCATATAACCAGTTGCAGGAAAATAATTCCTGTTATGAAGCACCTGCCTGACACTATTACAACTTCAAGGGACGGAGTAGGTATTTTTGTGTTGCTATCACTATGGACAAAACAGGAGGACCCACAAACTGATCTTCCCTTCCAAGTCTAGACATGACAGTTGATGTCACAGCCTGCAGTTTTTCAGCAGTACTGTAATGAACTGTATTAGTGATTTCTGGCCCAGCTGAGGCATATTGGGCCACATAAAATTCACCACTTAAGACAGCTGTCTTTTTTAGTCAAGACAAATGAGCTAACATTGCCAAACAGTTTGGAAACTCCTAAGCTGTGTAGACTCTTCACCAGTAGAGCTGCAGAGACAGCAACTACCTGCAGAAATCACAGAAAAGAAGGTGGAAACATCCTTAATTGGTACCACTGTCAAGATGGTCAACACTCATCACATTTTAAAATACCAATGCATTCAGGAGCAATGCAATTTCTGTTTCTCAGTAAGCCACTGATGTCATTTATGGAAGAGCCCTGTTTAGTGGATCTACAGTTTTAGCTTTCCCAAGTCAGATTCCTGTCACATCTTTTCATCTGTGCTTCCTTTGTTCAGTTACTACCACAAAATCCTGTTATATGTTTCACTGTGAAATGAAAATAATAGCTATGATGTTTTATCAGGCATTTCCTCTCAAACCTCTCATTTATAAGAAAGAGAACAGTGAAAAGCATGCATTTTTTCCACACACCTCTAAGAAATTGCCCATTAAATAGTTGGCTGTTATCCATCCATACACCCCTTCCTCTGGCCCAGTTATGATATTCGCACCCCTAAATTGAAAAGGTTGTGCTCTGAAGTAGTTTTGAATGCTTGCGAGGACTTCGTTGGCTGCTGTTTCATTTTGCAACCTAAGCAGTTGACAAAACATGAGACACTGAGCATCTGGAAAGGCAATTTCATGTTTAGTCTTCACTGCCTAGCAGCTCAAGAAAAGCCTTACAATCACCTAATAAAAACTGACATTGTTTTAGCCTAAAGGGGATGCTTATTATAGGGAACAGCCAAGCACCCAGCATCGTCGCAGCAAGCAACTCACCCACTATATACAAACTCCACTCTTTATCATACAAGTTCATAAGCATTTTGTCTCAAACATACTATTTTCTTAGTGAACTGAGTGCATACATGATATCTGTGGGCTAAAACAGTCCTGAAATCTTGCCTCTCACTCTGCTTAGTCAGAAACCAAACATAAAAAAATCTGTGCCACAGCTGAAGCCACAGACAGACCCCAAAAGCCACATTACATCACATCCATATCAAGAAAACTCTTCAGTGTCTAGCTTTTTTGCTGACCTCAGATATGCACAAACGTCATCTATTTACATAGTGTTGGATTTTAAGATAGCTTTGAAAGAATGAATTAAAATTCTGCCTTCTACAGGCAGGATTTATTTTCAAAATGGTACAAGTTTCATATAGTCCTGCTTTTCCTATTAAAAAAATAATTGAATTCAATTGGTTGGGCTCCATTTCCTTTTGAAATGACCAATTTCCAATGGACAGAAATGTGCCCAGTACGTTTTTCACATTCTTTCTTCACAGAATGCTATACCAGTACACATGCAGAGGAGTTCAAACTTCCACTGTACCTCAGTAGTCTCATGCCAGCTGTAGCCCCTAGATAAATTGAAGTGCTCTTATGTAGATGAACTGGGATTCTCTCCTTGACTTTATTCAGGCACTCATCAAGGGGTTTTGCAAGAGCTCCTGTGTTATGCTCATAACTGGATATACCAGGACCTAAAAGAAAACAAGTAGATTGACTGCATTCTGCTTTGCCAAGTACAAATTAACCTACTTAAGCAAACAGCTGTTATGACAAAGAGGTTCCCTCTTCCCTCTTGTAGTTGCAAACTACAGAATGGTTGAAAACTATGACTATTTAAGAAATAAACAGTAGTGACTGTCTAAGCTGTATGTGACAGAGAAGATACTGAAACTTCTTGCTTGTATGTGTATGCATGTGCACCTATAGTACCATGCATGTAGTAAGATGGATATAAGAGCATAACCATCTAATGTCATAATGACAATATTATGTGAAGAAAATAGGTTTACTCATAGCAGATGCTATACAAAATAAGATTTCTAGTGCATGTGAAGTTTCTCTGTTCTATTAAACTACAGCATATACCTCTTTACACACCCTAAGACTAAGATTTCCCAAACTTTTTTCCATAACTTTTGTGGGCATCATTGCATCTCTATAGCTCACTGCTTTCAACTAAAAATAAAAAAGCTTTTACAAGGAATTGCTGTTGAAATTCCAAGACACACACACAAAAATGGCTCTTGATGTCACTGAGGTACAAGTTTAGTTTGGTGCATGAACTACTGAGAATTTTACAGCTTTCCGGTATCAGCTATTTTACAGCTATTCCAGTATCAGAAACGGGAATCACACATAATGCATAACTATTTGAATAATTCAAATGAAAGTCTTTCCTTCCTTACTCAACACTCCAAGGACCAGCAGGACCTCAGCTTCAACTTGAGCGTAAATAGAAATGTTCCTTAGTAAAATTCCCTAGCTGAGGAAGTGGCACATAGAGAAATCCAGGAAAGCAGAGGAGCAACTTTGTTTCACACCCTCAGAAGCTGTTGTTGCCTCACACTCCCCATACACTTTCTTTGGACAAGAGCCTCTACTCTTCAGTGTTCAGAACAGGCAGAGCAGGTCACAGGGTAATAACTATCCATTTTGGACAGCCTACTTTGCTGATGATTAGAGCCTGACCAGGACAGACTACCTGCACTACACTGAAAGGTTTTGATATTGGGCTGGCTCAAACAGACATGGCAGAGTTACCTAATAAAAGATGAAATCAAATTACAAGAACACCACAGAAGTTACAAATTAGTTGATTGTTTGACTTACAAGTTCAGTAAGTTTGTGCAAGTCTGCCTCTTGGTGGGGCCCAGAACCACCCCCGCAATTTAAGTGCCTAAGGCTACCAACAGATAAAGAAACATTTCCAGACACTTTTGGCACTGCACTTCCCCAGCTTACCTGAGGAACACAACACATGAACCCTCCGTCTCCTCCAGCGCAGAGGCACCCAAGATTAGAGCAATGAAACGTGCTGATTTTATACACTGGATGATGAGAAGTACTGTGGTTGACTCTAGTTAAGGCCCCATGGGACCTGAAGAGCTCACAGCAATTTGGACTCCTTTGTTTCACAATATTTTATTTACCTAGTTAAATTTACAAAATAATTCCCTGTCCATTTTAGAGGAGAATAGGAACTGCAACTTTCTCACTCCAGAACTCCTACAGGCAACATTCTGAATGAGTTAAGACATAAACAAGCAGAATGTACCCCACACCCCAGCAAGCAGGCTGCCACTCCTGCAGCCTGTAAAGGACACATCACCAGTACATTTCTTCTGTGCACATTACATTTGTCTTCCTTCCTCTGTTGCTCTAAAATTATCTATACATATGTTTAATGATGATGACAGAAAGATTGGTGCTATTGAGAAATTATTCCCTCCTACTCATCTCCTAGTCACTTATGAACCTCTGAAGTTACCAAAATTTCACATACCTGTCAGAGGTGTATCTTTGAAAGCTTAGCCAAATGTCTCTGACATTTCTTATGAAGTAATCTACAGCAAACTCTAGAGCACATACTTAATTAACCACACAGGAGTCTGAGCAGAAGTCAGTACAGTTTAGTGTCCTCTGAGAGGAGCCAGTGTAAAACCTCAGACAAAAGACGAGGCAGGCAGCCAGTGGTTGTTGGGAGATATCTTCAAGCAGTGCAAAAGTACTGGTTTTCCTGTGCAAAAACCTGCATATTCGTATTTGAAACAACTATGACATTGTTAGAAATAATTCTGTAGTTTAGCTGTTTTACTTGATAATTTTATTAGACTCTCCCTTGCTATCTAGAATTGACAAGCTCTTCCAACTCACTTTCTTCATGCCTTTCGTAATTCCCTGTTTTGTCTCTTTCAAAGTAATTACAGAATAATTCCAGATGAACTGCATAGGCCTCATTTCTCTAGGAAATCTGACTCAATCCACAAAAGTGTTTTTAAAACAGCTAATGCTTTTGGAAACTAAAAACTAATTTTTCAAACTGCAGTGGCATAACTGACATCCATTTCTGCCCTCAACAGTGCCAAACATCTAACTGGGGCTAAATTTCCAGTTCTTTTCAGTGATTTCTTATTCCAAAACTGTTTTTAAATATACTTTCCTTCTGAAAGAAATTATTTCAGGGTATAAGAGCTAAGCATTTAAAGAACCGGACTCTCTCTAATCGAATTCTGTCTGCACCACTCATACAATGCAATGGAGTAAGCCAAGTTTAGCTATAATTTTCTCTTTGTTGGAAAATTGCGCACTCTACCATAGCAACAGTTGGAGGACTGATGCTGACAGACACATATATGGTCTTAAAAGTTCTTGAAATTTAAAAAAAAAAAAAAAGGAAAAAAAACAGTATAAGCTTCCAGATGACCTTTTGCCAGAGGCTACAAAAAGTAAGGAACTGCTATCTGAGCTCACCTTTCACATCACACTTGAAGGTTTGGCTCACTACTCCTGTATCATTTTCTTTTTCTGCTGGCCATTCATAGACATAGACTGTAGTCCGCGAAGACCCAGCATCAAGGACTATTCCATACTGTGGAGAAAAAAGTAATAGATCACATCAAGAGACAAACAGTGACATCTTGAACACCCAAATGCAGCCGTACTTTTTCAAATCATCAAGCTAAAATGTTTGAAAGTGTATGCACAGTATATTTACAAGAGATACATTAATTCTAGTGTTAGCTGCTTAGACAGGAATCTAACAGAAAAGCACAGAATAAATCTGAGTATAAAACAAACAGCATACTATATATCCTCAGTAATGAATTCAGTGAAAATGGAAAAGACTCATCTCCTTTTAGCATCAGGTTTAAAATCCATGCTTGACACATAGATAGAACTGTGAATTGCTTTTCCATTATCGCAGCTAAACTCACTGGATACTGATGGGTTTGATACCAGAGCACAGGCTTTAGATTCAGGGATACACAAAGGATCTATAAAGACACAAACAAGGAGGTAGAAGTGTATAATCCACAGATAGAATGATGAAACAAGTCTGGTTCTTTTCTAGTTGTGCAATAAAAGTTTTCCTTTGAGTGGTTAGGCAGTCCACCTGAGAATCTGGCTCTGAAAATAGTCTATGCCAGAGTGCGAGACAGTGGGGAGGAAAAAAGAATCAATACTACTGCATATTTATGAAATAAATGAGAAATATTAATGTGACCTATACAAAGTCACTGGGTTCTCTGTAGAATTAAAGTGCAGGTTTTTCCATCTCATTCCACTGCCCAGCAGATCAGTGTTAACCTCTTTCCTACCTTTTGTGGCAGCAGAAGACTATGGCAACTGAGAAAGCAAACTGACAAAGGAAAGTCGATGAGGCTGCACCTGGGGTATTGTATCCAGTTCTGCCCTCCTCTGTAGGAGAGACCTGAACATACTGGAAGGAGTTCAGGGGAGGGTCACCAAGATTATCAAAGGTCTGGAGCATCTTTCCTGTAAGGACATGCTGACAGTGCTGTAGAAGAGGACACTCAGAGATGTGAATTTGTATAAATTCCTGAAGGGGTTCCACAAAGAAGACAACATCCAGCACCAGGACAAGAGATAATAGGCACAAACTGGAACACAAGTTGTTCTTTCTAAACCTCAGGAAGCAATTGTGTGCTGTGAAGGTGGTGGGGTAATGGCAAAGGCTGCCCAAAAAGACTGTGGAGTCTCCTCCCTGAAGATCTTCAAAAGCCACATGGCTATGGTCCACTCTGGCTCTGCTTGAACAGTGGTTGGACCAAGTGACTCCAGAGGCCCCTTCCAACAGAATCATAGAATCACAAGGTTGAAAAGGACCTACAAGACCATCTAGTCCAACCATCCTTCCATTACTACTGTCACCACAAGCTACTAAACCATCTCTTTTAGCTCCTCATCCAGACACCTCTTGAACACTGCCAGGGATGGCGACTCCACCACCCTCCTGGGCAGGCCATTCCAGTGCCTGATCACTCTCTGAGAGAAAAAGATTTTCTTTATGTTTAATCTAAATCTCCTCTGGTACAACTTGCGGCCATTTCCTGGGAGAAGAGGCCAAACCACTCCTCATCACAACCTCCCTTCAGGAAGTTGTAGAATGCAATGAGGTCTCCTCTGAGGCTCCTTTTCCCCAGACTGAACAGTCCCAGCTCCCTCAGCCACAGCCATAAGATTTGTGCTCCAGACCCCTCACCAGTTTCGATGTCCTTCTCTGGACATGCTCCAGGGCCTCAATGTCTTTCTTTCACTGAGGGGCCCAAAACTGAACACAGTACTCGAGGTGTGGCCTCACCAGTGCTGAGTACTGGGGGGATGATCACCTCCCTGCTCCTGCTGGCCACACTATTTCTAATGCAGGCCAGGATGGCATTGGCCTTCTTGGCCGCCTGGGCACACTGTCAGCTCACATTCAGCCAAGCATCAACCCACACCCCCAGGTCTCTTTCCTCTTCACAGTCAACCAGCCACTCGTCCCCAAGCCTATAATGCTGCATAGAGTTGTTGTGGCCAAAGAGCAGGACCCAGCACTTGGCCTTGTTGAACCTCATCCCATTCACCTCAGCCCAGCAATCCAGCTTATCTAGATCCCTCTGAAGGGCCTCCCTACCCTCAGGCAGATCAACACCACCTCCCAACTTGGTGTCACCTGCAAACTTACTGAGCGTAACCTCAGCTACGCTCTAATGCTGTGAAAGGAGACTTGTTTTGCTTTTCCTCTTTGCTATCCCCAAAAACAAGTTTAGCTGCTCCCTCTTCAAAATCAAACTGGTAGGAATTGCATAGTGTAGGGTTCATTTCTCAGTCAACTTTTTTTCTTTTAAAAAAGACAGAAAGAGCCTGACAGTACTGAAAAATGAGAGCCTCCATCTGGCTGCAAAGCAGTAAAAGCAGTTGGAGCAGGCTAATTTATTTCATCACACAGCCTCCCCTGGATGCCCCAAATCTCCAAGAAAGATCACTGCTTCAGGTAGCACACCATTCAACCTCTGCACCTCATTAGTTCTCATTTTCCCACTGTAATCCTACAAGCTCCTGTTCACCCAAGAATTACCAGTGGTATCAGTCTCCAGTCTGTTTCCTAGAGGACTGCTAGATAATGAAAATTCCATTCATATTTACTCAGATGACTTTTAACCTGATCAACTACAAGGTGAAAAGTTCCACAGATACCATCAATCCTCTGTGCTGTCAGGTTCCATTCAACCACTGTTTAAGCAAAGACACTTTAAGTGTATTCCCGTTCCTCAAAAGACAGATGAGCACTACAATAACAGTAAATTTACTCAAGGGCTATTGATTAAATCTGGTCACAGCTCGGAGTGCCAAGCAGAAGCTTTTAACTTAGCTATTCTTAGTGTTATCATGCCCAAGAAGAGCTGGGAGAAAGTGAAAATATTCTTACCTCAGCAAACTGTGAAGCTTTTAGACCCATTTCCATCCTCCTGCTGCAATATTTACCTCCACTTCCCAGCATACTTCCTGAAGAGCAGATTTGCATCCCAAAGAGTAGTGGTACAATTATCTGAACAAATGTGTAGCTAACAATTTTATCTTCTCCTTCTCTTCCTCTCATTTTTCCTATACAGCCTCTTGTTTTCTTCAGAAAAAAAGAGAGCCTTTTTGAAAAGGACTCTTGGATATATTCCAGAGTGACTCCTGAAGCTCCTTAGGTTTTTGTGTGGTCCTGTGTGGAGCCAGGAATTAGGTCCCTTCCATACAAGATATTCTAAGATTCTATGATAAGGCCATTTACAAGGAAGGTTCTTTTCATCATTTTACCACCATCTTTAATTTTCATCAACCACAAACTTCAGGACACTGCCATTTCCAGGCTCCATCATATCAACTAAGTACTGCAGAGTTTCACAGTGGCATACCACAGTCAGAGCTCTGTTCCTGAAGAATTACCTCTTGCAAGTATTTTAGTAATTCACTGAAAAGTATTCAGTAACACCAGAATCAAACACAGAGCCCTCTATATAAACTACAGCTTCCTGCACAATCAGGCTTACAGCCCCAAAAGAAATCCAAAGCCAAGGCATCTGGCAGAAGAACCGCCAAAATTCCTCTAGAACCAGCCATGAAATTGCTGTGACTCAGGAAGCAGACCTCCCCAAATAAACTACCTTCAGATAATCCAGGTGGGTCTGATATTTCCTTGAAGAGTAAAGTAAACAGCTTTGTCATTCTGAATTGAAACTAATGACAAACACAAGTAATGCATAGGCTGTATTTTAGATAGTGTCCTTGGCCATATATATCAGTGCAGTTTTGCCTTGAGCAAAAGCTGTTAGGATGTAAGAATGCTCCAAGCAGAAATTTAGGTCACACAGGAAGTAAATGTGAGACACTGTGTCCATGCAAGGTTCCAGCACACACACCCTGCCACACCAACACCAACACTTAAAGCTGGTATCAAAATACAAATTTTAGGCCAAAAACTGATTCAGACAAACCAAAGATTATCATAATCTCACAAAGTATAGTAAGCTATTAGCCTATTGCTATTACTATGTGAACTACTCAGATAAATATGTAGAGGGAAAGGTAGAAATGACTTCAAAGAAGTATCTGACAAATTGTCTATGCTCGTAGCTGTAAGAAAAACAAAAAACTGGATTGCATAGCATCCCTAGAAGGCTAGATTCTGTAGCATTGTCTTCAGTTGTTCTCTTTGAAGAACTCACATGCATAATCCAGAAGCATAAGGCAAAGCTTGAACCTACTTCTCAGATTATTTCAGTTTGTCTTTTTCATTTTGCTCTGCTCCTCGTTATGTAGCTAACTTCACTTCTTTTAGTATCTAGCAAGTCCCAACATGTGGTAAATCAGAACGTGCATGCTTGCAGCCCAAATGTTTTACGATCCACAGCAGTAGTTTGCAATGATTTTGGTAAGAACTTCTTAAATGTGATTGAGAATAGGACCTTAACTCCAAGAAATACCTGAAATAACTTCAAAATAATTTAGAATAATCTCAAAAATAATTTACAATTACTTCTAACTTCAGACAAAAAAAAAAGAAAAAAAAAGCAATGGCTTTTTTTTAATTGTTTATCCTTCCAGTCTTGAGGAAGGCATTTTGTGATAGACATTGTAGACATTTTCCATCTTTGCCACTGTAATCTTGGCCAATTCTGATTTTGCCTCAGCCTTAGTCTTCCCATTACAAAGACATAATGAACAATTAATTTGTGGGTGTAAATTACTCCATAAAATAGTGTTTAGAAATGATGATTATTAAATATCAATTCCAAATACTGGTCTTCCTTACCTATTATTGTTACTTACCTATTCCTTACCTACTTACCTTAAGGCCTGGGGAAAGAATCTTTTGCTGATTTATCTGAATCACTGCAATAGCAATGATAAGAATTACACTTAGAAGAAGGAACACTTGGGCAACAATACTTGGTGTTCTGGTAAGCATCCTGAAACAACAAAAACAGGCAACACTTCAATAGTGTGAAAGGATTCAGTGATTGTGTACAGTACTGAACCTCTGAATCAGTTAAGACTCCCCATAAAAGCTAGTTTCCTCAACTAGATTATGCTACATGAAAATTTTGTATTCTACTTAAGAGCTGCTTGGCGTTTTGCTATCACCAACCTGCCATTCTCTAGAAGAGGTGTATGTATATTGTCATATTCAAGATGTGCGAGTTCACCCAAACTGCCAGTATGCTCATTTCCCACAGTGTCTACATGTAGATGCATGCTGACCATCTCCCATTGCCTCAGGAAACAAGGCCAATGGGCAGGCTGAGACTAGTGCACACTCAACAATCCCATGCATACCTGTAACCAACACAGCCACAGCCATGTAGGCATAGTGGTGGTAGCTGCTGAATACAGCTCAGTGCTCCTACCAGAGATGCAAGGTCTGTACTAGATACAGGCTGCTTCAGCAAGAGACAAAGGAAGTTTTAAGAATATTGAAGTAGACATCTTCTAACTGCCAACGTGTTCATGATTTAGATTCATGTGTATGCACATATTAACACAGTTAATACTGAAGATTCTTATGCTTTACAGAGGTTGAAAATGAAAGAAATGGGAGGTGACAAGCTTAGAGTTTTCAGAGGAAGAGAAAAAGGAGAACTTTCCTGCCTTTTTCATTTTCAGAATCCATTTGTTTTGCCATCAGGCTAGCCTGGCAAGATGTGTCCTAACTCCCACCTCCTAATTCTTCCATGTTGGTGGATATTGTTGGCTGTTCAGGGCTGCCTTGTTGTTCCAGCAGCTGCAAATGCCAGCCTGTGCAAGGACAGGAGGTCAGACCTGCTGTGGCCACAGCACACTGGGTGAGTCTCACTGTACCTTTAGCACATCGCCTGTTTCCTTAGCTCCAACCAGAGCCAGAGGGCTGAGGAAGAAGGATAAAGTGCTCCTTTATACATCTTCCATATTCCAAGTGCCATGAGTTCTTCAGCTTATGTTAGCTATAATTGAGAAGTGACTGAAGGACCTACTTGCAACCTAGTTTGTTAACATTCAGTCCTAGATCAAAGCACCGACATTCAGAGCTGGAAAAGGTAAGTAATTACCAAAGGAAAAAAAATGAACAAACAACTCTGGGCAAAGTATTTGAAAAATTTAAGCATTGGTAAGAATATGCAATAATCATTATCACACTACTGACACTTAAAAACACCCCATGATCACTGAATCACAGAATAGCCCAGGTTGGAAGGGACCTCAAGGATCATGAATCACCGACTGAAAGATTTTCTGCTATAACTTTTTATACAAGGGACATTGAAATGGGGTTTGTTGAAGTTCTCATGTGCTTTCCTGATACTGGAATTTGCCTTCATCAGACACAATTTCTTACTTAACAACCTTTTTTGGCAGAGACCATACTGAGTAAGAGAGCGGCTCATGAGACATTCATCATACAGTTTTGTTCTGCCGGCAAACAGGACATCAGAGGGGAATAATCTGTAAATCCCAATGTAAGCAATGGCCTTTGTGTTAGGACACCTTACACTCCATGCCCTATTGAAACTGTCACGCAGCTGATATCTTATTATCTGAACTTGAACTGTGCAAGACGTTTTATGATTTTATGTATTTGGATCAGATGTGCAAGGCTGTGCTTAACCTTACCTGGGCTCACCCAAGCCGCACACGGGCTAGGCAACACAGCGATACCAGCTGCATTCACTGAGATGTGAAGAGACAGCAGAGAGGAAGGAGTTTGTTTTCTCCGTAGTGTAAGCAGTTGTCATGTGAGCACTTCATCAGGCCAACGTCCCGCACTTGGAAGGAAAAAGACACATAAGATTTTAATTAAGTATCAAAAGGCAGGAGCATTCCATTATTAAAGCGTCACCCGAAGCAAGCAGCATAGACGTACTTCCCACGCCCAGGTAAGCACTGCGGACCACGCAGGAGCAGATGGGAGTGTCATTTTCTACAGCTTTCTTCCAGCAGAAGGAAGGCTGCCTGCCAAGGGAAGCTGACCACAGCAAACCTCTTTGTGCCCACGACGTTTTCCAAGCTCCCAGGTTAAAGACACACGGTTTGATCACGGCAAGGACGGGCATGCGTAAGAAGTACCTTTCTTCACACTGTAACCGGAGAGATACGCGTACGCGAGCATTTATTTCAGAAGCAATCCGCAGGTGATGGAAAGAAATAAAAAAGAAAGCAACACAACAACCCGCAGCAGCCCACGGACGCTGAGCACCGAGGCCGCCCCACCGCCCTCCCCTCAGCGGGCGGCCCTGGGCGGGAACCGCGGGAACCCGCCCCTCTGCGCGGCCGCCGCCCGGGCGCGAAACGAAAGCCGTGAGATGCAAAATCCCCGTGCGTACGCCCGAATGGAGGAGATGGGTGCAGCCCTCAGCCGTGCGGCACGGTGCTGTGGGTGAAGGCATGGCATTAGCCCTCCCTCTTCTGTAGGAAACGAGTGTTTTCTCCGGAGGGCTTTTCTCACCCCTCATGGAGCCATAGCCTTCTGATTTCAAGGTTGCCTTTCCACTCGGGTTCAAACTTACCGTCGCTGCTTGGTTGGTAGTTTTGCAGCATCCTGTGCCACGTCAAGGCTTGGCAGCAGGGTTAGATATGCTCAAATGCATATGCAGAACTACTGTCACTAAGATCGTAAAATCACAGAGTCATTAAGGCCTGAAAAGACCTCTAAGATCACCTGGTCCAAATGCCAGCCCATCCCCTGGATCTCCTCTTCTCCAGACTGAGCAATCCCGGTTCCCTCAGCTGCTCCCCATAAGACTTGTGCTCCAGACCCCTCACAGTTTTGTTGTCCCACGCCCTGGGCCCAGCCCTCCAGCCAGTTTACCTGCTGAAGAGAACATCTGTCCAAACCACAGGCTGCAGGAGAATACTATGGGAAACAGCATCAAAGGCTTTGCTGGTCTAAGCTGACAAAATCAACAGCGTTTCCTCATACACCAGGTGATCTCCTGGTTGTAGCAGGAGATGAGGTTCATCAAGCAGGGGCATACAGCACCTGTCTGACCTGCGTGGTCTGCTGTAGACAAGGATCATGCTACAGCCTGCAGCACAGATTCACAAGGAAAAGAGCTCTGGGATCAGTGAAACACTTTAACCACTCAGCTCCATAGTTGGATTCGGGTTCACATGAAGTAAAAACAAAAAGCACTTACCTGATTTTTTTTTTTCTTGTAATGATCTTAATGAATCATTATCCTTGATTTGTGAATAAAGAAAGGGGAACAAGGAAACATCTGAAACTTTGTGACTCATCTGTAAGGTTCCTTCCATAGTGCATCCATTGTGGGGCCTCTGCTTTACTGCTAGAATGAGATGTCATTTCTTTCTTATGATGACAACGCATTATTAAAGTTGGGTTAATGATAAGCTTAATGGATCAGTTCAGCCATTTCCAGTTAAAGACAAAGCCTCCCATCCCTCCTGATTGCCTGTCTGCTGTTTTCTTTCCTTCAGTGTCATTTTCTGAGACATCTTTTTCTTCTTTCACCCACTGTTCTGCTGGGGCAGAATCTGTCTCAAGTGTCTCATTTAAAATGTCAAATGAACTTACAGCCCCACAGTAAAGCATATTCTTTGCTACTCTCAGACATAAATATTTTGAAGTAAAAAAAAAAACAAAACAGTGACATCAATCACTACTTCAGCTAGTCCTACTACCAACTTTTAACTGTGTCTAAAGTGTAATGTTTGCAAAGAAAGCAAAGCCCTACTCTCAAAAGTATGCATATACTTCCATAAAAACAGGAGAGGTGCTTTTCTGCACCATTTCCAAGAGCTGAGCTACTGTATATGCTGCTTTTCTTGCTAAAGCTATGATAGCGACAAAAGTGATATGGGCTGTAAAATCCCTCAGGTGCTTTTAAAGTCCAGAATGCATGTCTCCAGACCTAGCATCTGTGGCATGGTGGGTAACCAGTTTCTTCACCAGTTCACAGAATCACAGAAGCGTTAAGGTTGGACAAGACCACTAAGATTATCTAGCATGGCTGTCAACCCATCAACACCATACCACTAAACCACATCACTCAGTGTGACTTCTACCCTTTTCTTGCAAATCGCCAGGGACAGTGACTCCACCACCTCCCTGGACAGCCTGTTCCTTTGCATTAATACTCCTGAGAAGAACTTTTTTCTAATATCCAACCTGAACCTCCCCTTGGCACAACATAAAGTCATTACCTCTTGTCCTACTTGATCTTCTTTGTTTCCTAAGCCTACCTCTTTGGCTTTTCTTCAGTTCATTCCTCAGCCCTACCCTTCATTTTGTAGCTCCCTTACCTGATCTTTCATCCCTTCCTCACTCTCAAGGCATAGATTAAACTTGCTGCCATTTTCCCAGCCTTCATCATGCTTATTGCATGCACACTTTTCCATTATGATTTCCTTTGCTGTAATATCTTTTTTCTCCCCTTCAAGTATCCTCGTTTTTATGCATTTGGTGTAACTGACTGTATTGATTTGCTTTGCTTGGAGAGAATCTTTCTTAGGTGTCCATTTAAAAATGATAAATGAACTGGATTGCTGGCTGCCCCCCAGAAAAGTTTATTTCTTCTGGTGGCATTGAGCACAAACATGTGAAGTAAAAATGCAGTGACTGATATTGAAAGATTCACAGATAAATACCAGTTGCTAAGATCAATAGCAAATCTCTAGAAACTAAAATACTGCAGACATGAATAAAGTGTTCATGACAGATACATTCTGCAATACATTTATCATATCAGATCTACACAGGATACAGAGCAGACACTGCTTCATTTCCTGCACAGTGACAGCAGCAGAGGGGATGTATGATTATATATCTCAAGAGAAAACAGAACTGTATCCATTCCTTCTGTTATGCTCATACAGTATTTGATGCTGGAATATTAAGAGGCCTCAAAATATCCCCTGATGAGAGAGAGATAAAATGGAGAGAAATGCTTTCTTTGCAAAGTCCAATAAACAAAGGAATTCTCTAATTCATCCTAAGCCATGGGTGTCCAACCTTTTGGTGCATCTGTACTGCATTCAGTGAGGAGGAATTGCCTTAGGCTGCATATATATAGGTTGCTCTGAAAGTAATGCCTCCTATTTATTTCCAAGGAAAGTACAACAGATACCAAGAGCACAATAGCACTGTCTAATAGAGCAAATTCTCAGCTACAGAGCAGTATTTTTCAGTGCAGTCACCACCACTAGCTATGCTTTTTTTGCCAGCCATGAACAGGAACCTGCATGCTGCACTTGTGAAAATCTGCACCAGTGGAGGTGACCCACTGTTGCTGTCACCCCTGTTGAAATGCTCCATCCACCACCTCACTGTGCTCAGATCCGCTGTTTAGTCTCCAGAAGTGTTCAGCAAGCACTGATGAATGTTAATGGTTGCAATTTATTTCTGCATGAAGGAATTCAGTTCCATATGTTTTCTTCATCTTCCACGTCAGGCACCATTTTGTCAGACTGCCCCTGTGCTGCCATCTGTCGCATGGCAATGAAATGTAACAGAATATTGCTGAGAAGGTTCAGTCTCTACTGCCATAGCACCACCATGTGTCTCTGACGTTGTGGACCAACATAATAAAATGGGAGGCATTGTTTTTGGAGCAGCTCTTATAAAATATTTAATATAGTTAGTGTATGTAAGTAACAAAATATTTTAATTTTTAGTATTTTTCATTGAAACATAAAAAAGAGAGCAGCAAAACCATAAAAGTAGTGGGTAATCTGATTTTGCTTTTGTGTAAGAAATGCATCAGTCTGGTTCGATGGCAATGGTTGCCATGCTTAGTGAGCTCTCAAGGTGTTCATCAGAGATTTTTGATGAAATGTTATTCTTGTCCTTCATCTTTGAAAATTGTTGTCCACAAATCTACATATTGCCAAAAAGCAGTGACATGACTAAGTTGTAACTGTGAGGCAAGGGATGTTTCTCTTCTAGGACAGGTCTAGTAGAAAGACATGATCAGATTTTTAAGTAGAATATTCAATTGCAATCTATACATTCCATTTGAAAATTTGCAGGTAATGTATTTATTAAAAATGGAGTCACAAATATATCAAAACATTGATCACTGGATCATACAGTCATAGAATCATTAAGGTTGAAAAAGTCCTGTAAGATCATCTAGTCCAGCAGTCCACCTACCACCGTTACTCACTAAACCACATTCCTCACCTTTGGTGTAGATGCACTTCAGCAGAGCCACTGGCCTCACCCCCAACCACAGCATCATTCCCTTAGGCTCATCTCCAGCAAGCTTCATTTCATTCTCTTCTCCCTTCATACCTAGTTTAAAGCCTTCTCAATGAGCCCAGCCAGCAGAAGGGTGTGATGCCCTTTAGCTCAACTTCATCTGTTCTATTAATCTTCCCAGGACTTTTCATCAGCATTGTAAAGACCCTTCATTCATTAGCTTCTGTGCCCAAAGACCAATTTACCCAAATTTTATTCATGTTCACCACTCTATTTCAAGATCAACTGTGAGAACTGGCACTGCAGGCAGAGCCATCTTAAGAACTTGGAACAATCTGGAGCAACAGAGGTCTGGATATTGATTCAACTAGAAACTTAGAAAACTAAAAGAAGATTCCCAGCCCCTTATATGCTTAACATTTTATTCAAAGTCAAAAAGCACCTTTTTGTGATTGCTTAATATGAATGTTCTACGTATTGCAGCATACCTTGTTAGCTGGGTAATTTATGGAGCTAGGATTATAGAGTTACAAGTAAGGAAGTCACAAACCATGTCTGAAATCTACTTCTGAAGAATGTCAGATGTGATTCTCCGCAGAGTTTAAAGATGCAGTTCTTTTGTTTTAGCACACAGTTACAAAACTCATTTTTCATTAGCTTTAAAAGCATCTGTGGTTTTCTATCAATAAGGACAAAAAACAAACAATCAAACAAACAAACAAACAAACAAACAAACAAACAAAAACAAAAAAAACACCCAGCAATTCACAGCTACAGCGTGAGAAATTCAGTTTGTCCCTCTTTATAATGGTTGGATATGGACATTGCCTTTTCTATTTCAGAATTTCAGTGATGACTTCTTTAAAATCCCTTTGAAAACTACTTGTTGGTTTATATTTGTATTCCTTCACTGCAGCTCTAAAGCTAATGATGTGTTTAAGATTCAATTTCTGAATCTTGTCTCATACGCATAACTGTGATAAAAGTTTTCTGGTCAACATCATCATCTTGAGAAATCTTGAAACGGATAAGAATTTAATTCTGAAGATGAACCAAAATACTTTCTAACCTATTTATTTCCCCTCCTGAGACTTAGAGCTTTATACCTTGTGCCTCTTGTCCAAAGAATCAAGAGCTGCTTTAATCACTTAAACCTCCCCAGGGACACTCTTCATGATCACGTGCTTATGAGCCTGGACAAATTGTAGGCAACAGCGAAATAATCACATAATTAGGGCAGCAGATTGCTGGAAAAGCAGAAATGCACATCCTTTTGTCTATTCTGTCTAAGCCCTAGTTTTATAAAGCCAAACTAGCTGTTGCTGCTGCTGCAGGGGAGTGTTGGACAGTTATATTGAACTGCTGGAAAAAGAGGAACTCTCCCATCCTCTTTGTGCTCTCTAGTTGAAAGCCAAGCTCACAAAGATTTACAGGAAGTTTGTTTGAGATTTTTAGCAATGCTTGCAAGCACAGCTTGTGACTTGACATCTATGTTACATTGTCATACAACTGGCCACAGGAGACTGATAAAGAAATACTGGACTTGTACAAGAAATTCACTGTTGTACTCAAATCTTCAACCTCCTGTGAATAGGGATATGTTCCAAAAACTACTCAGTGGTAATTAATCCTTTCAAAAATGCTGTGTAAAAACCCTGCTCAACATGGAGTATTTCTGTGAGGCTGACAACTCTAAATCAGTAATGTCATATTTTTCTCAGTACAGAACTCATTGCAGACAAAATGCTACTTCAGGAGAATAGATACACACCCCATGTTTTGAAGAAGTACTAAGAAGTCCTTGTAGCAGCATTTCTATCATCTTTTTGTATTCATCCAGGATCGAATTGGCTAAGAAATTCTAAAATTCCGAGATAAAATCTTTTCAATTGCAATTCCACAGTCAGATTATCTCCTTGAGTATCTGTGAGATGAAAAAAGTTCTATTACAATTCTTTCCATATCCACCTGCAATATTGTTACTGTTGCATTGCTTCACTAACCCTGACATAATATAACAAGTTCTTTTTGTTGCTTTCTGTACGCTGACATTAAACCACAAGTGAGCAGTCATAGGCTCAGTAATGCAAATAAAGTCACTAAATTCAGTTGTGAAGAACAAAAAGTCCATGGGAGAACAGAACCAGCATATGAAAGAGTGGAATGATCCCTGCAATACTGATTATAACAAACATTTCTATGTGCAGATTCACCATTATGTGGTGCCTGCTTGAAACAGCCTGCACTAAAAAGCTTGTTTATTCACCTGATGAACAAATATACGCATCACCATTTTTGATTTTGATAGATTGAAAACTACATTCTTACCCAGTAGCAGGGAGATAACTTCTTGCTCACTGGATTACAAAGCTGGGCTGGGTGAAGGGCATGAGATGCATGTTGATTGGTATATTCCTACAATCTTCACCCTGTTTCATTACCTTCATTTACCTGTGCAGTCACAGGCACAGTAACATCTCTCCAGTTCATGACAGCAGTGGTAAATAACATGCTTGATGTGAAAAAACACATTCAGTTTTGGTATGTCTGTAAATTTTCCTTATATTCAGCCTTTCTTTTTCATTCTTGTTGTTCTTGTGTGTGTTTCATCGTATGCAAGGCATGAACACATGCTAAATGAAGCAGCAACAAGCTCCCAACTTTCTTATACCAGCTGTACATATATGACCCATTGAGAACAGGCAGTGGCAGGACTGAGAGCAGGTACACATGCACAGCATAACCCCTACACCATTAAAAGGACTGTGTTATGGGTGGGTTGCATTTAAACACATAGCAGCTCCTGTGATACAGAGCCAACATGGGTTTGTCTGATGTTTTGTGGAATTGTGTATTTTTTCAGATATCCACATACTCCATTTTGTGCTTTATGACCTTCATAAAGGCATATCACACACACTGTTCTAGCACTGGCTAGTTGGCGGGTTTATGATCCCACTCAAGGCAAAACCTCTGGTTTATGTTGGGTAGGTTTGTGCCTTAGCCAGCGCTGAGTGTAGTCATGAGTGACAAAGGCAATATAAAATGTGTGTGGCAGAGATACTGCCTGCAGCTTGAGACTGTTATGTCAGTCATAAGCAAGAGGCCACTGTCAGCCACAGTAGTTGTACAGGGGCAGTAAAGCCAGACACTTTAAAGGCAGATGATATATGCACCACTCATGCCCAAGAATACTCTCTCAGAATACTGCAGTTACTTGCTTGTCCATATCAGCAATATGAGCACAAGATAAGAAGGGTGCTAATTCTGTACAAATACTTTGAAAACTGATGTCAGTCTGACTAGGTATTCATTTCTTCCTGTCTCCCCAAGTCA